TCTTTAGGGCACTGTGTATTGACATCTGGTCAGAAGGAATGAATGTGTTATACAATTGCATATCATCGGGAAAACCATGATAGCTGATACCATGTCTATGAATAATTTTACCAAGTGGAAGTACATACAGTAAGAAAAGAAGTGGACCTAGTACCGATCCCTGTGGGACTCCAGTGGACAGCGGTTTAGATAAAGAGTTGCCGCTATGAATATGAATACATTGGCTTCTGTCAGTTAGATTTAAGACTTCAACCAATCCAGCGTCGATCCTTTGATTCCCACAGATAACTGCAGTCGATTGAACAGAATGCTATGGTCGATGGTTTTAAATGCTGCACTTAGATCTAGAAGTATAAAGTTGATGCCAAGGTTGCTGTCCAGTGCTGCATCAATATCAGCTTTTACCTTCAAGAGTGGTGTTTCTGTGCTGTGACCTTCTTTATAAGCAGACTGCAGTGGTTCATGAAGATCATTTGCTTTCAGATAATTAGTGATTTGTCTCGCTATCACCCTTTCAAGTACCTTTCCAATAATATCAAGATTTGAAACAGGGCGATCGTTCTTGAGGATCTCACAATCAAGTGATTGTTTCTTCAGAAGTGGAATCACAAGGGCAGTCTTTAATGAAGTCGGCACACAGCTTTTGACAATTGAAGAATTTATGATAGCAGGAAGGAGCGCATCCAATACTGGTTTGGACTTCAGAAGCCATGTTGGAAGGTGATCTAGGCTACAGGAAGTTGACTTGCTCTTACGAATGATGGACCGGACATGTTCTTCTGTAACTGGGGCAAACTCAAACAAACGGCTTGGTACATGATGTTCTTCAAACGCATTTAACCCACTGCTAGTATTGTCAAGAGTACGTCTGATATCACTGACTTTGTCATGGAAGAAGTCACAGAAACGTTCAGCTAGCACAACATCTGAATTAGACTTTGGTAATTTCTTTTGATTTTCAGAGATAAGTTTATCGATAACATTAAAAAGATCTGTTGCAGAGAGTTTGTTTTTATAAAAAGTTGTCTTAGCATCCGAGATCAATTTTATTACCTTCTTGGACTGTGATTGGAACAGTTGTTTATCAACTTCAATACCTGTTTTTACACATTTTCTTTCTGCTTTTCATCTGAGAATTCTTTCAGAGTGAATGACATCAGTATACCAGGGATTTGGATGGTTACCTTTACTTTAGCGGGATTTTACAGGAGCAAATACGTCAACGTCGATATCTTTCAGTTTTCTACTCATGATTTCTTTCTCCACAGACGATGCGCTTTCAAGGTTTATGTCACATACTATTGGGTAGTGATCTGACAATAAATCTGTAGTTACTTCAAGAGTATTAATTGGCTGTTACGTTCAGAGATAACAAAGTCAAGAATATTTCCACGTTTGTGTGATATAGTCTTCACATGTTGATATAAACTATAAGAATCTAGGATGTTTTGGAATTTGGAAACAGTAAAATCGTTTACATTATCAAAGTGTAAGTTGAAATCTCCAATAATAAGCAGACTTGTGTTAAGGAGAATGAGCTCGGAAATCATAGTCTCAAGGTCTTTCAGAAAATCCTGATTACTTGATTTGTTTTTCTTTGATGGTGGAGGATGATATAATATCACAAGCCGAAGTCTATTGTTGAGAAATAATTGTACAAATTCAAAGGAATGAAAGCATGTGTTGACTCGTTCTCTTATGCATTCGAATGTATGCCTGATAAGAAGACCAACGCCTCCACCTCGTGTCTGTCTGGGTAGATTTATAAAATCAGAATCATCACCACTTTTCAGAGGTTTTTCCCCATGAAAGTGTCAATTATTATTTGATTTTCAATTTCTTTTTACCATTTTAGGCCTAATGCCACTTTTGACTAGGTCAAATTAGTTTAACATTTTCACTGTCACTGGAAATGGCGTCATGTTGGCAGAAACTGTATTTTTAGCCTTCAGAACAAATATTTTATTCAAATGACTCGTATTTGTTATTTGTTTAAAATGTTATTTGTTTAAAATTATGAAATTTGATTCCAATCAACATATAAAATGAACCCATATAGATATCACAAAATGGTTTCTGTCTTGTTCCGTCACGCAGAAATAGACGATTTTCTACAAGTCAGTTTTCAAGGTCAATAAAAATGTCAATTATTATTTTATTTCCATAAAAATTTTGTGATGCCATTTATGATTTCATGAAACTATTTTAACATTTTCATTATCACCAGAAGTAATGTCATTTTGTCAATCTGTATTTTTAGCCTACAAGGCAAATATTTTTTTGAAGTGAGTGATATTCATTATGATATTTGATTCCAATGGACGAATAGATTGAATAAATACGATCATTAGATATCAAAATATAGTCTTTAACATCTTCCCTTACCGAGAAATAATAAATTTTGTCAAGATCACTTTTTAAGCATTTTCACATTTTAATAAGGCTTTATAAAGGGTTAATTCTTTTCAACGTCTTTTCAGAAGCAAACATTGAATTTTACAAATTTAATATGGATGACCCTACTAAATAAAGGCGGATAAAATGTTGAGCTCATTTTTTTTTATTTCGATTTCGTATTTCTGCCATTTCAATTTAATGGTGAAAAAAGGTGTAAAATTTAGCTATTTACAAATCTATTTGGCATCTTCATATTTTTAAATATTTCCTCACAACTTTCATAAACCTGTATCACTAATGCATACAAAGACAATCTATGTAAAAATTAGTTTGCAATATGAACAGTTGCTGAGAAATAAACAATTTTGCATGAGTCACTTTTCATGTTATTTTGCCTGTAAAATAGTCAGTTATTATTGGATTTTCATAAAAGTGACACCCTTTGGTGTATAAAACAAATATGCGTTATATCAAATTGATTACAATTTAAAACAAATGTTTTCTTGAAATGAGTGTTATTCATTATTTGTTTTAAATTATGATATTTGAATCCAATCAACATATATTCATTATTTTTTTTAAATTATGATATTTGAATCCAATCAACATATCGAATGAATCAATACGATGATATAGATATCAAACCATTGTTTCCAACATCCAATATCCAATTTTGTCAGTGTCACTTTTTAAGATTTTTTGCATTTTGATAAGGTTTTATTAGGGTTAATTCTATCAGATTTTTAATAAATTTTAAGTCATGCAAAGGACAATCGAAATGGTTATTTCAGTAATCCAATTTAAATATTTTGTGGACGTCATCTCTTTGAGGTTTTGTTAGCTGCATTCCTTTTTTGCCATATATAACAAATGGTAACAAATCTAGAAGCACTTGTGAAATAACGTTATTAAACTATGTTAAATAATTCAGCGATTACGGTAAGTGACATCAGTTCAAGGGTAACGTGGCACCTATGAGACTCGTCGTCGAGTTACACTTAAATTTATAATTAATACGAAGACTGATGGCTAAAAAATTAAACAAAAAGATCTGTTTGTCAATGCAGTTTGATTAGAATATAACCAATTTAATGTGTGCATTTTGTTTTGTTCAAATGCAAGTAACAAGTTTTATTGTGGCATCAGTAGTTAAATTAGGTCTGATTTTATTGATATTTCTAAGATTAAAATAGCATTGGCATGCATTAGTCATGTGACATTAAGTACTTAAATAGTTGTCAAACATCATTACACCGAAATTACAAGAAGACTTTACAGGAGAAACAGAATGTGAATTAATGCATATATTTTAATTTAATTATGTTAGTGATTTTAGGCAATGAGTGTTTCCAACCAATTATTATGAATTGTGTTTTGTCAGTGTAGTTAGTTGAATTTAACAAGCAGTTCTTTGTATTTAACGGGCTGTCTTTTTTGAAGATCAGATTCATCTGATTACCAATTTGTTTGGGACCTTAATACAACTTAGTTCTACAAACCTTTTTTGACACATCGACAATGCAAAGTGAATGGCGCTCAGATGGAGGAGGATGATTAGTGGACCTATATATATATCTCACATATTTGGGTGCAATAGATCACAGGGATGTTTGAAAATAGAATGACGGAAAATTAGGCCAGTTTTGTGGTGTGTAAATTGGCTGATGGGTTCCCAGTATATTCAGTCAATTTTTAAGACAATCGGTCCCAACCAGCATATATTAGCGAAGTAGAACCCGTGGTTTAAACAGTAATACAATAGAAAGAGTAAGAACCATATAATTAACATGTAATGTATGCCAGATAGAAACCGGTTCAGAGAGTTACACACAACCTCTTTATCAGAATGTCAAATCATACACTGGCTGTTTTAAGACAATAATTATAGTGTTTTAGAAAATATCAAAATGAAAACAATAAGATTGTTTAATACAGTAACACTGTTTAAAACAATATGTTTTGAAACAATTTTAGAATAAAGACATTGAATTGAAGACAATCCCACAATCAACACCGCAAATGTTACAGCAACTTCTTTTCCAGGTGATAACATAATATCACTCAAAAATACAATCCAAACAGTAACAGTTTTTCACAAACTAACACAAGTAACAATATTTGAAACTGTAACACAATTTAGAGAGTAACAAAGTGTAAAACAGTAACACAATCCATAGAGCTAACAGTAACACAATCCAGACAGTAACTATGTTTCAAGCAGTAGGCTTAACATTATCTAGACAATAATAGATATAGACGATATAATCATTTGTCGTCAAAGAGTAACATACCCCAAACAGTAACACAATCCAAACAATAACAATGATCCAGACAGTAACAATTCTAAAAATCATTAGTTTTAGGTAGTATCGTATTCTCAATAAATTCATGGCTAGCATTCTGCATTGTTGAATTGGAGATGACTTAAAACAAATATTGAAATGGACTGTTACATTGGAGAATATGTAAAATGTTTGTCTGGAAGGATAGTTTCTGGTTTTCTCTATGAATTAATGGAAGTGATTAGGGTCTCCACGAATGACACTATATTATAATGGATTACATAGTGTAGCCAGTTTACCGTTTGTTGTCATATTTTCCAGGGGTTTATGATATAGATCATACATTAAAATCTTTTCAATGTGTGGAAGGTAAAGGCAAAAAGAAACGCTCCAAATCAGATCATACTGACAAAGATGGAGGCAAGAAATCCAAAAATAAAGGTATTTTATAAAAATTGTAGAATAGACATGGGTTGTGGGTTCTTTTGTGTGTTAAAAAGCAGCAAGGATTTTGTATAATAAAAAGGAACCACAAACAGCTAGCGATGAAGATCACATATTTCTCGAAGATTAATAGTTTTATTTTGATCATGAGTTTGTATATGAAAACTATAAATACTGTGCTTTTTATATCTTGATTCTATCAGATGTATATCTAGGCCTTGATACATCTCTCATTCTATGTTTGTTACGTGGTTAAATTTATTTTATACTATGTTTCTTTTGCATGACTAGATACCTGGATAATCTTATACAATTACGGTACATATATTTGGTTTGCACGAAGGCACATTCATCTTTCAGAGGAACATCTGTGTAATTCTGAATTTAATTTGATTTTTAATTGATTGAGAACAAATATTACTTCAAGTATTTTTATTTTTAAAGTTCCACCAGAGCTAGTTTTACCAAATGAGGTTCCTGATGATAAGACTCAACACAGTGCAGGAAGTAAAGAACCTGGATCAGCAGGTCACGAGACCAAGTTTAGTTCCTTCGATTTCCTCGCGTTATGCAGCACTCCAACTTGGTTGGGGCCAGAACGTCGAAGATCTCGAAGGAGATCTAGGTCACCTGGGCCAACTTCCCCGGCGCCACATGCTGTAAGTAATATCTCTTTGTTTTCAATCATACTTTATTAAATTGCTTGGCTTAGGTGGTGGTCATTACTAGAAGTACCTGGAAATATATTGATATATATGATGGCACCAATGTTTATTGATCTATATTCCCATCCAATAGTTTTCACTTAACCATTTTTTTTATGATATACATAAATAGTCTGAACATGTATGGATATGGTTTTAAAGCTAATGGAATTTTATAATTATTTGAGAGCATGAATATGATTAATTCCCAGTAGCCACAAACATATTCAAATTAATATCATGACAAACTAGCAAGCTGATAAGATAAATATTTCCACAAAGTTTAGATCGACTTTAATTTAATTGTTTAATTTATTGTGTATTGATATTATTATGTGATAGTTAACATAAAACTACCATATAAGTTTATATGAATCCCTCCTTTATTTATTTGCAATATAAGATTATAATAATTGGAAGTTACGTTAAACTAGCTCAGAGATGGGCTAATATTACTTATTATTTCCTTCTTTTACAAACTTATTGTCATTATTGTTTTTATTCAATTATGTTATTTAAACGGACAGGACCTCCTTACAAATTTGATATGAACATTCAGTTAACTCTTTGTTATATTCAACTTCAAATTTAACATAAATAAACTTTTCCTGAGTAACTGAATTTTTATACGCCAACATTTTCATATGGACGTAGTATGAAGTCGCCCCAGCCCATCCGGGCAGAGTTTGTCCGTCCACAATTTGTTTGTGGACACTTTACAGGTCACAATTTTTATCCGATTTTGACGAAACTTGAAATATAGGTCTATCTCCCACAGATCTCAGGTTCTTTTGATATTGGCATATATAGGACCATCACTTCATGAATTATGGCCCCTGATTGTATGAAAAATCACGTTTTTAGCTTGTGGACACTCTAGAAGTCACAATTGTCATCTGATTTGGATGGAACTTGATATGCATGTTTGTAACCCAAAGAACTTAGTTCCTTGCGATATTCGCGCATATTGGATGATAACTTCCTGAATGGATAGTACGTAAAATCGCATTTTTAGTTTATGGTTCCTCTAGTGGTCACAATTTTTATCCAATTTTTAAAAACGTTTGAATATATCACCGTTACACCCAAATGATGGTTGAGTTCGAATTTCATGAAAATCAAACCAAAACAGCCCGGACAACATGGTCACCCCTTGTACGCAAATATTGTAAAAAATTGGTACATCAAGGTTGTGGACCCTCTAGAGGTAACAATTTTGATCCAATTTTGATGAAACTTGAAATGTATGTTTATCACCCAAAGGTCGTGGTTCCTCTCGATATTCATGCATATCAGACTTTAACGTCCTGAATTATGGCCCTTGATTGTACGAAAAATCGTGTTTTTAGCTTGTGGATTCTATAGAGTTCACAATTTTTAATGGATTTTAAAAACTGTTTAAATATATCACCATTCCACCACAATGAAGTTTGAATTCGAATTTTGGGAAAATCGAAATTAAACTACCTGACAAATTGGCCGCTCTTTGTACCAGATTGTGTAAAAGTATGTAATACGAAGTTTGTGGACCTTCTAGAGGTCACAATTTTTATCCGATTTTAATGAAACTTTAAATATATCTTTATATCTCAAAGATTCGGTCCCTTTCGATATTTGCGCATTTCAGACCATACTTCTCTGGATTATGGCCCCTGATTGTACGAAAAAAACGCTTGTGGGGCGTATCTTGCCTGGCAACCGCTGGTATTCATATTAGGAGATTATCCTATTCGGTGATTGAAATTACATGTAATCAGATTAATAATATGAATAAAGGAGGTCCTTAATTTTAAAAGAAATGTGTTAAATATGAAACTTAAGTTAAATGCATTGATTGTTTAACAGCTTGGCTCTATGAGGGGTAAACGAAGGGTAGGGAGAATTTGTTGTTTTCTGTTACTGAACGCTGTCTTGTAATCTGCTACATTTATCTCTTTATTTTGCTTTCAAAATGTAATCCTGCCTAATTCTTCTAATCTCTCTCTCTCTCTCATTTACTTATTTATTACTAAAATATGTCTCCTCACAATAACTTGTCTTCTATCCAGTTTACAAACATTTATGTGTAGCCTACCATTTCCATAACTACATGTAACAATGTTATAGATTTGTCAAAATTTAGGGACATACTGTTGAGATATCTGTTAATTTTTGTGTTTGTCTAGTCAAATCAAAAGTATTTCTTAGTCTTTCGCATGAAATGGAAACAAAAAATTTCATACTAGTATATACAGAAATGAAAAAAAGGAGCATGGAACATTTTATTAAAGAAATGGCATGAATGCTATGCAAAATTCATAAATGTTTCTAACCAAAGCATGAGGGAAACCAACCATTGTGCCAGTTTATTTTAATTAGAAAAAAGTGTCTCTTGGAGAATTGCATTTAAATGATATTTTCTATGATGTATTTTTTGTATTCGGGTCCATTTAATTGAATATATTTTTAAAACTACTTTTCATTAAAATAATTATTTCCACATTTTGATATTGATTTAAGGTTGCAATAACATCACATTTTATTATAAAATATATGCATCTTTTGGTTTGGTTAAAATTGCTATTATGTGGCCATAGCAATGTTGGCAGTTACCCCCCACCATCCCCTTACAGAACAATCACTCCAAACTTTCCAGTAATAACCTCTACTATAAATTGTAATTACTTCATTTGACAATAACTTGTAAGTTATGTTATGATCTACATGTATATCTGGCTTCTATTTCTTGATGTAGTTTACATGTAGATATATGTTCTCCACATCATAGTACAAACTTCCTGTATAAATATATGATGAATATTAAACATATTAACTTGTAAGTAGTTGATGTATTTTACATTATATATATATATTATATATATATATATTTGGATAAAATTGGATATATATATATATATATATATATATATATATATACACATACACTCTTAGTAATGTATCTCCAATAACAAACATGTTTTTACTAATGAATAACATTTTTGTAGGATGCAATTATTTTACTTTTATCAGTTTAAAAATAAGTTGTGAATTGTGTGGGTGTATATTGGAAAATATGTCATTTCCTAGAATGTATAGGAATCTTTTAGGATTTTTGAGTATATTCTGTGTTATTCTCTCTAATTTGGTCTGAAATTAAAATTGTTGGCCATCCTGAACCAAATTATTACTTGATAATTAACACTTTGAAATTACAGAATGAAATTGTAAGCACAACCAAAATTGAGATTTTATTTGATCTTCCTTGCAGTAGAATAAGGACTACCTAAGTCCAATTTGGCAATTTTAAAAAGATACAGGTTAGAGAGGATGGCCATGGTTCATAGACACTTTCCTTTTAATTACCAGGAGTCGTCTACACATATTATAAACATTTTTGATGTAACTACATGTGATTCCAACATAAAATGTGCTCAAGAATTTTTTGTCAATGAATTAATCTACTGAGATGGATAGTGATGGCTTATGAGGACTGAAAGTATTAACAAACACATGAAAACTCATCAATAGATGTTCTGCTTTATACAAGTTATTTAATTTGATTTGTATAAAGCCCAGTTAAAAACAATCAAACAATTTTAACTTTAAATAACAGTCAAAGAACTACAAATAAGCATTGAAGGATATCTTTTTAAAGCTTACATCAGTTTATCAGTATTGCAGAATTAGTTTTTTAATATTACTTTTAATATATTCTATTTTAATTGCAGGATGCTCCTAGATATTGTCTAGCTCCATTGCCCCTGACAGACAGCCAGGGAAAGATTGACAGTCCACATGGAAAGGGAAATCTCCTCTCTCCAGATGCTGCCTATTCTGCCAAGAACTCAGTGCCTCAAACTCAAAATTCTCCAAGCTTACGAAGAGCCTCCTCTTTGCGATATTCCAAACGTCGTAATCGTTCTGGAAGTATTGGAAGTAAGCGTAAAACTTTTGGACGTTCAAGTTCCGTTGATGTCCCTTGTGCTAAAGTGGAATCTGTGGACAAAGTGTTTCCAGTTCCAACACCAAAAAGTCCAGTTCAAAGACCAGCTAACTTAGTTCTCCAGGAATGTTATCCAAATAAATTAAAGGAAGGAAAAGTTACTAGTGGCACAAATGGACCATTAACTAGTGTTGAGGTACATTTTACAGACAGTTTAAATCCTTGCTCATCTACTGATCTCCCTAAAGCTCCCTCTCTCCAAACTCGCTTAGATTTACCTACCTTAGAATCAAGTCAAGTTATGCAAAAGCACCTCCCAAACTTGACAAAAAATAACCCTGAAATTAAAGATAATCTATGTGTTGTGCGGCCAAAAGACATTACGGAGCATTCAAGGAAAAAATTGCCTCCTAAAAAACCGCCTCGTAATTTTTTAACAGTGAGTGATGCGTATCGTAATGATGATGATATTGATGATGATGCTGCTATGCAAATAAGTGGTTACAGTTTGTCTCAAGATACAGATGGGGACTTTTGTCGATCTAGCCCAGAACGAACAGATTTAGTTCGAGACATCGAACAAGAACTCAGTGACTTGCGTTTGTTAGAAATGGAAGAATGTGAGGATCGTGTTGATAGCATGGTGGAACTTCTCAGTGACAAGCGATCACAACATTCAGGGAAAGAAAACTATAATGCTCATGTGAAGATAGCTGATTTGTGTTTTAATATTCATCCAAAAGGATGTACCAATATGGATAAAAAGCAAACTGTTGCTGCATGTAGTGAATCAAATACTGATGAAATTGAAACACTGCACAGTGAATCGTCAAACTTTCCAAATCAGGTTGATAGCTCAAATAGTTCTCAAGTTCGGCTGCCAGCCTCAAAGCTCAAAACCCCAACTACACCGACATGGAAGTTACTCAAAACTCCCTTAGCTCGAATTGAGAGTTTCCATAGTGATGAATTTGATTTTTTTAGCTCAGATATAGCAGACAAGGGAGATAATCTATCAATTTCTCCAAATACACCAACAGTCCCTTGTTTTTCTTATAAACTGAACTTGGGAAAGAAAAAGCCTCCCAAATTAAAATGCAAGGAAAGTGATAACGGTAAAAATAAATGTTTGGCGAATCATACAGCCCTGAAAAGTCAAGACATGACTGTATGGTAAGGTCTAAATTTCTTATTATTCATGTTTTTTTTTCATTCATTCGTTAACCCTAAATTATAAAACTACATGTAATGCTCAAGCATGGGTTTTGTGCACCTTTTATAATGCATGTACATGGTCCTGATGCATACAATATTATGTTGGCTAGTAGTAGTAGAGACCTTAAGAGTCGTTCCATGAGAGAACCATGCAAAATCGTGCAGAATCGGTAAGATGGGGGGTCAGCAGACCGAGTTTATCTCGGGGGGGGATTTTATGAACTACCCCTGACTACTTCAAAGCCAGAAGGGCCGATCTCAAAATTTCACCGTTATTGAGAAATAGCCTCTGGGTGATCTTTGGCCAATTTTGCCATTTTTAGTCAATTTTCAGCCACCTATTGTGACGAGTCTAGGGTTTGGATAAAAAAAGTGGTTATTGGTGATGTTAGTTGAGGTCTTCTTGTGCCCCAGTGTGAAGACCATGATATCGCATCTATTCTCTGGGAGTATTGATCAGCAAAATTGTAACATATGGCGAATAAAACAGAAAATATACACCTGCAAAGATTAGCTCTATTTTCTATGATGCGGGGGTAGGTCAAAATATCGAAATGGTTTTATGCACAGCTCGACACCCTCTATCTATATAAGAAATAAAATGTCTATCACCTCTCTTCAATACGAAATCATAAGTCAAAGTTGGTGAATTTTCCCTATTGTAAATCTCTCATTCTCTATGAAATGGCCAACTACTTTCATTCAGGGTAACATGGTAAGCCAGCTCTCTCCATTTCTTCACCAAATCATTCGCTCGTGTTCACTGGTAGTGGCTTGAAACCTGCTTGAGTAAAACTAGTCTCTTTGATGAGACTTGGTATCCAATCCAAGATGGCCGTGCCCGAAAGTGCAGAAAATTGCGTTTTTTCCTCATTTTTGGCCATTAAATGTGGTACATATCCCAGATATGAACATACGATTGAAAAAATGTACTATGGAAATAAGGCCCACATTTAGCACATCACATAGCAGCAATAAGTGATGTGAGAACTGAACGTGAGTGGATTTCTTGATGGAGCGGCATCAAACCGAAAATTCCAAAAGGATGCATGGTACCACATTTAAGGGGAAGCCATACAAAGACCGTGCTGTGTCACTTGGAATCCGCTTATCCCTACTGGATTGGGTAAGTGAAATAAAATACTATTGACAAAAAGTGGGAAAAAATTGTGTCTTGAAATATCGATGAAAACGTTGTGTGTGTGATCGACCACAATCAAATTAGCAGAAAAGAGTTGTGCGGTGATACAGCTACGGGTAGTGGAACTGGCATGCTGCCTCTTCCTCCTGTAACAGCTACGCCAGTGACAGTAATGACTTAGAACTACCAACTACAGGTGTAGAGCAGGTAATGATGACGTAGTACCAGTAGATTGATGATGGCTGTAAGCGGCACTACCAGTAGCTGCAGATGATGTAGCAGTTGGAGGAATGTCATCAGTTTCCACAATAACCTAAAACAACCTAACCACATAAAATAATTGACTAAACTTCTTTTCTAAGTATTTGCAGGTGCCGCCGTTACCAGCCAGTCCATCATTCGGAGACTCTATACAAGAAAATTTTCAATGGCCCATATACGTTGGGGTTGGTATCAAGAATATTTTGAGAGGAAACCCCTGATAGAAATGTCCTTCATATACAAATTTGGTTTTAAAAGGCCTGGCAAGATCCATTTTGGGCTCTGAAAATGATCCTATGATGAAGTTGAATTTTTTACCCTATGTCATAGGATGTAGGAAGTTGGCTCTTTTGACAGTCCATTTTCTCAATATGGACAACATTAGATTTCTGGCATATACCTACAATAGAAGAAAACATTCTAAAATTAACGAGAATTTTTAAATGCTGCCAAATCTGGCCTTTAGTAAAGGTATGACAGCTATATCAGACTCAATGCAGCTAGTTTGAGGACTTAAGCCCATCACTTAACTCTGGAGTATCACCGCAGAACTTTTTTTCTGCTAATTTGATTGTGGTCGAGCATACACACAATGTTTTCATTGATATTTCAAAGACACGATTTTTTCCCACTTTTTGTCAATAGTATTTTATTTCACTTACCCGATCCAGTAGGAATAAGCGGATTCCAAGTGACACAGCACAGTCTTTGTATGACTTCCCCTTAAATCTGGTCCATGCATCCTTTTGGAATATTCAGTTTGATGCCGCTCCGTCAAGAAATCAGCTCCTGTTGGGTTCTCACATCACTTATTGCTATGTGATGTGCTAAATGTGGGCCTTAATGTCCTTAGTACATTTTCAATTGTATGTTCATATCTGGGATATGTACCACATTTATTGGCCAAAAATGAGGAAAAAATGCAATTTTCTGCACTTTCGGGTGCGACCATCTTGGATTGGATACCAAGTCTTATCAAAGAGACTAGTTTTACTCGACCAAAAATGACCTGAAAAATGGCAAAATTGGCCAAAAATCACCCAGAGGCTATTTCTCAATAACGGTGAAATAGTTAGGGGGAGCCCATAAAATCCCCCCGAGAAGAACTTGATCTGCCGACCCCCACCTTCTCATCTTCTGCATGGTTTTCTCGTGGAATGACTCTTAAACAGTCACAGTGACTGTACCATGGATCAAAACAAACTGTGATCTTGCTCTGCTGAGCGTAGAAAGAGAAGAAACTGAAAAAAAACTGACTTTGACCACATCATAGACCAATTTGCATCAGTAAAAGCAAGGAATGTGCAATTGTAATTTTCATGTAGTGCCATAATTTATTAGTTAAAAGATTGACGAAATTGACTTGTATTTTTGAGCTGATTTTATGGTAATGTTATCTATAAAAAAAAATGGGTGTCAGATGTTTAGACGGGTGCAATTCCAGTGCTTGCCACAGACGCTGATCTCCATGCCATTTAATTATCTGTGATATGATATTTTGCTTGTAGATCATACAGTTATTTTTTAACAATATTTTATTTCTAAATGCTAATGAACTGCAGTCTAATTAAAGTTAAATCTTACCTTGATATCATTCACTTTTTTATGTATTTACATTTACACTTCAATAAGGCATAAAAACATTCTTAAGATGATTGTCTTCAATTGATCTGATCTGTTCTAATTCTAGCCAATGAACATATGACACATGACACAATTATATGGAATACAAGTTACCTAGAAGTTTATTTCTGGCGATGTTTCCATATTATTGTGTCATGTGTTATTCTCATTCAGTTTAGTGATGGTCCGATATGGCACCTATCGGTTTTACCGATATCAGATATTGACTGCGAAATATATCGGCCGATACAGATACAATTACCGATAGTGGTGGATATAAAACTATTACACGATAAAATGCTTGAATGGCATGATATTCTATGTAGATATATGTTATTGTTAGTCATAGTAGGCCCAATTTCCTATTTATTTATAACAATTATTAGGATTAGTTAAGATTCTATCTGTATAAAACCTGTACATATCCCAATATGGTTTATACTGCTAAATAAACAAAGAGATAATCATCCTGGAAACATGTGTGAAGTGAAAAGTACCGGTGTTCCATAAAATTTTGTCTAGTTAGCCTGTCAGTAATATTTTGTTAGTTTTTTTCTGCCACTTATCAGAGTGAATCGCATGTAGGTACCCAAAAACATAACCGCCTAAACCAAATATTTATCGCCCGCTCAGCCAGCAACGTAACCATAATGCTTTTGCACGCGGTGTCTTGGTAGACAGCATGGCCACATGGTGTTTGTTTATATTTTTTAGGGGTTTTAAAAAATGGGTTAGGGTTAGATATTTCACGGCTACGCCTCTGTTGTTAGTCGTGAAATGCATGGTACTATTTTACCTCGGGGATCAAACACGAACGCTGTGTTTTTGAAGTAATAAAATTGGGTCACGCTTCCTACGCAATCGCAAATACAGTCCATCTATTACAAACTTAATTATTTGCTGTATCATTAATGAATAAAGTCGCGATTATCATATTTTAAGTGTTGATTACGATATCATTTCCTAGAGTGATCGTCACCCGTATGTCAATAATAGATGTTGGAATGGTTCATGCAGTAATGAATGAAACATCAAAGTGATAGTTTCCTGAATTGGCTGTCAACAGTGGCAATCACGTGACACTCTCCCGCCATTTCTAGAACTATAGTTAAAAAAAACATCTAATGGAAACTCATTTGTTGTTAGATGATCTATATTATAAGTTATTATTTATTGATACAAATTATGTGTAAATTTTTAAAGTAGTCTAACATAACAGTACAAATCACTAAACTATTTCTAAATTTTTATCGGCATCTACTCTGAATGTCGGAATGTCTGACAGTAATCACATGCCATCAAAAGGGATATACCCCCTTTCATCTTTCATTCCAATCACGCGTAAACCATGTGATATTTTCCCGCCTTTTCCAAAACTTCTACTCCTTATGATAGTGTCCAGACAATACCAGCAGTGAACTAGATAAAACGCAGTGAAAAAAAATGCATGCCAGAAGTAATAAGATTTGGAACTATTTCACGAAGCGACATAACAGCACAAGACCCCACATACCAGCCCGGTATGCAATGAAGGACCATTGTTGACATCTTCTTTGGTTTTATTATCGAAAATCGTGATAGACAAATAACTATTGTGAGGACCATTGTTTATTTCATATAGTTAATAAATTTGTTATTAATAATCAGAAACAATTTAAATTAAAAATTCAATAGCCTAATTAGGTATTGTTCTAGTTTGTGCCGTGCGCGTGGCGTGGCTATTTATATAACGGAGACCGGTAAGGATTTTTTACTGTTTATTCTTTCCTTTTTACGTCCCTTATGGGAGTCTTGTATTACCATACGTCTGTGTGGCTATTTAGATGCACCGTGTGTCAAGCAAAATAATGATTTGTTCACAACTAGGATAATATTTTAACGGTAATTACCGAGTCGTTTTGAACAGATATCGGCAACTCAAGTATCGGCAAAATGTATCGGTCGATACCGATTTCTCCCGATAGGCCACTTATCGACCAATTACCAATGTTCAAACAGATTATCGGACCATCACTAATTCAGTTACTAAATGCTGCTTAAACAATTTATTCGTCAAAGAACATATACTTTGGTATGGACAAGAATGAGAACAGAACAGAGAATTGATAAATAAGTACGGTACTTAGGTCTTCATCTGTGTCAATCAACGAAAATTTAAAAGACTTCTTGAAGACTGGTGGCAAGTTGGGAGATTTAAACAAATTATTTGCCTCACATTTATGTTCTGATGACAAAGTTAAATTGGCTTTTTAAACCAGCTTAACAACATATTATATAATCATTTATTTTTAATTTTACTTTTTCATAATTTTTAAAATGTTATTGGGGCATATGTATAATTATTTGAATCCCTGTCTTCATTAGCCTAGTCGGAGTAGAAAAGTAAGATGTTAAACCTCATTTCAAGTCATTATTTGAATCTATTATTTAACAGCAGGTTAGAGCCAGTAGTAACAGACCCTTTACTTAGTTCAGGAAGTGAAACAGAACCCCAGGAAGATTCAAAAGATAAAATTTCATCAACAGGAAAAGTTAAAATTCATCCAATGGATTTGGGTAAGATTTAATATCATTTACATGATGCAAAACATATTTCATTTTCGGAAATTAATCATTTAGGCTTTATCATTATTAAATGTAAGTTAGATACATTTTGATATTGACAACACTTCAATTTATAAAATAATTTACATTTAGTTAGTGATTGAGGGAAAAAAGTTCAATTAAAAGCTCTCCACTTCCTCGGTTTAAATTTGATGTAAAACTCCGCTCTCCGAGCATGCAACAATCAAGCATGACATCTACATCAATAAAATATAAAAAACAGAAAGAATACATTTAGTTATTGATTAATGTGATAAAAGAAAAGTAAATAAAATAGTTCATATACACGTTTATTGATCTCATCGAAATTTGTATGTACATGCCTAACAAGCTTTATAATATGATCATGCAGCCTTTAAGGTTTTATTAATGATTGCTTGTATCACCAATGGCAGAAATAGGAGAAAGATTTTATGCAGGCTCAGTTTAGAATTTTACTTTATTTCTTCCTGAGGCTCAATTTATAATTTTACTTTATTTCTTCCTGATTTTTGTGAGGATGATATATTTTGATGAATTTGGGACTTTTCTACTTCTATACTCTTTAGTTAAACAGACATTATGTAAGAGCTAAATCTGCTTATTGCAGGTCTTTTTGGTGGCCTTAAATGTTATTTAAATTATTAATTAGACATTTATTAACATGACAAGACCATAATCAACTTTTGATGCCATCGGATGGCTCTGATTTTAAGTAGATTAGAACAGTTCTGCCATTTAATGAATTAATTTAAAAATGGAGAAGTGAGGATAAGACTCGATGTCCAGTACCGTGGTAACAATACACACAACATCTTATGAAAACTACAACCATTGCTAACTTCGCTCAAATTAAAGTCATTTGAATGAAATTCTCAATATATAGAGTTTGCATATCTATTTTTATACGCCCACATTTTCATGTGGATGTATTATGCCATCGTCCCTGTCCGTCTGTCCGTCCGTTCACAATTTGTTTGTGGACACCCTACAGGTCACAATTTTTATCCGATTTTGACGAAACTTGAAATATAAGTCTATCTCCCAAAGATCTCAGTTCCTTTTAATATTGGCATGTATCGGACCGTAACTTCATGAATTATGGCCCCTGATTGTACGAAAAAGCTCGTTTTTAGCTTGTGTACACTCTAGAAGTAACAATTTTCATCTGATTTTGATGAAACTTGAAATGTATGTTTAGAACCCAAACATCTCGATTCTTTTCGATATTTGCTGCGGATATCGGATTGTAACTATTTGCATTATGGCCCCCGATTGTACGAAAAATCGTGTTTTTCTCTTGTGGTTCCTCTATAGGTCACAATTATTATCCAATTTAAAAAAAAACGTTTGAATATATCACCGTTACACCATAATGTCGGTTGATTTCAAATTTCGTGAAAATCGGACCAAAACTACCGTACAAAATGGCCGCCACTCATACGCAAATCGTGTAAAGAAAATATGGTATATTAAGGTTGTGGACCCTCTAGAGGCCACAATTTTTGTCTAATTTTGATGAAACTTTACATTTATGTTTATATTACAAAGATCTTGGTTCCTTTCAATAATCGCGCATGTCCGTACATAGCTTCCTGAATTATGGCCCCTGACTGTTTTAGCTTGTGGACCTGCTAGTAGTCACAATTTGTATTCAATTTTAAAAACCGTTTAATTATATCACCGTTACACATCAATGAAGGTTGAGTTCGAATTTCGTAAAAATCTGACCAAAACTGCCAGACAAGATGGCCACTCCTATTACACAAATAGTGTAAAAGTATGTAATACCAAGGTTGTGGACACTCTATAGGAGTTATAATTTATATCCGATTTTAATTAAACTTGAAATGTATGTTTATGGTTCCTTTTGATATTTGCACATATCGGACCGTAACTTCCTGGATTATGGTCCCTGTTTGTACAAAAATCGCGTTTTTAGTTTGTGGACTCTTTAGAGGTTTACAATTTTTATCCAATTTCATAAAACGTTTAAATTTATCACCGTTACACCCTAATGACAGTTGAGTTCAAATTTGTGAAAAACAGACCAAAACTGCCTGACAAAATGGTGGCTACTTGTACGCAAATAGTGTAAAATTATGTCATATCAAGGTTGTGGACCCTCTAGAAGTCAAAATTGTTATCAGATTTTGATGAAACTTTAAATATATGTTTATGTCACAAAGATCTTGGTTCCTTTTGCTATTGGTGCATATCAGACCGTAACTTCCTGGATTATAGCCCCTGATTTTTAGCATGTAGGTGGATTCTCTAGAGGTCACAATTTTTTATCCGATTTTAAAAAACGTTTTAAGTATATCACCATTCCACCGTAGAGATGGTTGAATTTGAATTTCGGGAAAATCAAAACGAAACTGCGCGACAAAATGGCCACTCTTTGCACGCAAATTGTGTAAAAGTACGTAATACGAAGGTTGTGGACCCTCTAGAGGTCACAATTTTTATCCGATTTGAATGAAACTGAAAATATATGTTTATGTCCTAAAGATCTCAGTCCCTTTCGATATTTGTGCACTTCAGACCATAACTTTTTGGATTATGGCCCCTAATTGTACGAAAAATCGGTTTTGTTTTTAACTTGTTCTCTATCCATTTTTTGCAAAATGTGGCAACCGCTGGTTGAAATATTATACCGAGAACGGACAGCTCTTTATCTAAATCTTACATAATGCCACTTTAATTTTGGGGGGCATCAGATAATGTGTGTTAAACTTTTTATGCTGTGTTTTTATTTTGTCTTAGTGTCACTACTGAGAACCTATTGTACATATCCAGATTCATTCACATTTCAGTAAACAGGTCGTGCATCTCTTTTTTTAAGTGATGCAGGAGTACCTGATAACCAGAATATTTTTTTATATGGCCTAAATAATTCAGTGTAGTGCTTAAAATACACAAATAACACTTGTACATTAATGTCTATAAAAGCATATTAAAGATGCATTATGTAAGAGCTAAATCTGCCTATTACATATGGAAGACCAAACAGCTCTTTATTCAGTGATCTTAGTTCTTAATTCATAGTCCTTGATTCTTATTTGTAAATTTGTACATTAAAATTAACATCTGTATCTTAAAATCAATATTTGTTTTACAAATCAGACATTTGTCATATCAGGTTTGTTAAATGTATTTCTGTTTAATTTAATTGTATTTAATATAAAGATCAAATTTATTTTAGTAAATCAAAAAAAAACAATCTACATTTACATTTCATCATAGACATACAACAAAAAACAAATCTCGAACAACAAAACATTTCTCGAAATTCATCGAACTGGAACATTATGACAGCATGAACCGAAATCAACCTGGCATACAATAAGTCACCATACAATAAAAGAGAATCGAGCAAGCATATATATACAATAAGAAAAATTGCTTGATGACCGTGACTTTAATGAAATCATGTGCGTGTTATGTATCTGTATATATGTATATATTGGTTAATCTGATCTAGCATTAAATAAAATAAATTGTATGCCAGGTTAATTTCCACTCATGTTGTCATAATGTTCCGGTTTGATGAATTTCGAGAAATGTTTTTGGAAAAATGTTTTTAGAGAAATGTTTTGCAAGATTTGTATTTGGAGATTTGTTGTTCGAGATTTGTTTTTCGGTGTATTTCTCAGATGAAATGTAAATGGAGGCTAATATTTTGATTTTCTAAAATAAATTTTGTCTTTATATTAGAATACAATTAAGTCAAACAAAAATGCATTTTACAAATCTGATATGACAAATGTCTTTTTTAAAACAAATATTGATTTTAAGATACAATGTTAATTTTAGTGTACAAAACGAATCCTGTCAAAATACGACAACAAAAATATAGAAATAAGAATTAAGGACTATGAATTAAGGACTAATAACTAAGAATACTCAATAAAGAGCTGTTTGGTCTTCCATAATTACAGGGTTTTATTAGTTTTTATACTACATACTATAAAAACTATTGTTTTTGTTCGGATTGTTATTATTATTATTGTCCCCCGCCTTTCGAAGAAAGCAGGGGACTATTAAAATGGGTTCGTCCGCCTGTCTGTCTGTCTGTCCGTCACACTTTTTGGGACACAATAACTCTCTTTCTTATTGAGCTAGAATGTTCAAACTTGGTGTAGGTGTTTATTTGGTCAATGCCTTGATGGAGTTCGAGGATGAGCATTTTCTGCTTATGGTAAGCATTTTGATTGGTTGATGCTTGGTGTCTAGTTTCATTACATCGATACCTTGACTAAGTTCGATAATGAGCATTTTCTGCTCGGGGTAAGCAGAGCGATAAAAAATTTTGAACACATTAACTCATCTGCTTCTAATTGAGTTAGTATGGGACAAGATAACTTTGATTCTATCTGATAGAGAGTGATGAAACTTAGTGTATAGTTAATAATCAGTTTGATTGCTTGAAACTTTTGAAAAAAATAGATGTGCGATTAATTAATATGTGTCATATATTTATTTGAGGATATCGGCGGGGGACATCAGCCTCACTGTTGGCTTCTTTAACTCCTTTTGGGAAAATGGACATATTCTACAGAATAATACTCTATACTGTCTGAAAAGTATTTACTGGGAATAAATACTGAATAAATAAAACTTTAAAAATGTTATCAAGGAGTGACGTCATCGACAAATATGAGACATCAAAGGAAACTTTTTTGTTTTTCAACCAATATGATTGCGGTTTTCACCAATTTGTAGCTGTTTGTATTTTTTAACTTTTATTTTGGGACATTCTGGCCTCTATGACGCATAGGCATGTCCCAATTTTAAGCTCAAATGTGAAAATTCTGGGTTTAACTTTTTTATTTTTGAAGATTTCGACTTGAAACTTTCAGAATATATTACAAATGGGTGGATTACGGCAAAAATGTCAACAAAAATTTTCCGATTATCTCCCCTTTGGAGATGACGTCAGATTTTCAACTTCTTTAATTTTGACAAGGAGTGAGGTTGCCTGTTCAACCTCGTGGGTTTTTTCCTGGTCCTCCGGTTCCATTCCATTGCTACAGACCCCTACGCGAAAGCGAATTTTTGAAATAAAATTGAACCATGTGTTAGCCCCGAAATGACCTAGTTTGTGTCGAGTGGACGTTAAACTCCATTTCTCTCTCTCTTTCATGTGGCGCAGTTTTAAAATAAAACGATTGTATCACAGTTTTTGAGCGTTTTGAAAATATAATCTTACTTTAATTTTTCAAAATAGCCGTGAGTAGGGCGCTACTTCGCTAACCAGAAGGTGGTTTCCTCTTGTCCCTGGTGCAGTTTGGAGGGCCTGGCAAGGTCAGATGGACAAAAATTGTGGTCCAGGTACAGTTTGGAGGGCCTGGCAAGGTCAGATGGAACAAAAATTGCCGTCCTGATACACATTGCCGTGCAAAAAAGGGAACCCATGGCAGTTTGAATTCGAAATACGAGTACACTGTAGCGCCACTGTCCAGGGATAATGATTTTAAATAAATAGTAAACTTAGGAAACAAGAGAATGATTGTATTTGTTATTTTGCTTTTGAAATATTGATGAAATGGAGTTGTATTTTGAAATATTCTGTATTTTTCTGAATGTTATTATTTTTTTTTTTTACATAGAAGAGCAGGACTCTGATTTAAATGGGTCAAAATTTCAAAAAACAGTTGCTGTTGGTTACAATAGTGAAAACCGCATATCCTCTCATTCTTCTAATGCAATCACCAAACAACCAAACCAGATACAGGTGCGTAAGTTTAAATTTAATTTTATATAGTTTTAACTAACTTTGATATGTGGCTCAAAATGGTGTGAATGAAACTTTTCTTCATATTGATAAAGTTGCTATCTTTTTTTTTTATGTTACTAAAATATACCTAAAACACTTTTCTAGCAGGATGGTACTGCTCTACACTATGCTTTGGTTATGAGGCAGTGCTTGAATGTGGTTTTCCCAGAAATGTAACTTGGTAGATGTGAACCAATAGCTTTGTCCCCACATCCGCACCTCACATTTTGGTGAGTTTTCTTTTTCAAAAACATGCTGGGGTTTATGTTGGTTTATTGAAATTGTATTTATTGCACAGATTCAACATAGGTTTGGTCTGAGTATGTTAATCTTTCTAAAACTTGCAGAAATTATGCCTGGAATTGTTACATTCTTCTTAATCCCATTTTTGTTTACTTGAAGCGATAAAATAGACATTGTTGAGTTGGGTGGATAGGGTCTGAATCTTAAGGTTTATTTCTTAAGGCTTTTAGGTTAGATAGTGCCATAGTCTAGTGGTAAGAGCACTCAAGTCTTGAGTAGAATGTTGCAGTTTTGAATCCGTCACCTGTTGGGCTGACAAGAAAAGGGTTCCGTAGTTGTTTGGATGGGACAAAAAACCATGGTCTACCAGTGTACGCGCTTGAATGCATTTAGAAGACACCTTGACAGCTGGAATTCGATGAAGAGTAGGTGAAAAAGCCACTGTCTGGGCATTATTTCACATGTGACCATATAGAAAAAAAGGGTGATATCTGATATAGGGACGATATCAGATATGGACCCTTGGGTTATTTCACATATCAACTCTCGATTAGGGTAATATTTATCTCATATACACCATTAGTGACAATCATTAAGTTTCCAAATAAGGAGCAGGCCTGTAACCCAATTGACTAATTAGGAGGTAAAATAATTTTACTGTGCACCACTAACTGGGACCCCGAATCAAGAATTATGTTTTCTACCATCATCTGGAAAATAAATGTGATCAATAAAATTGATAATTCTAGACACAAGTAAAAATTCATGATAACCTCTGACCTTAGCAACTATGTTTTCCATATGGTTTAGTAAACAAATTTCCCCCCAAAATATACATTTCTTTTGTGCAGTAATTCTGATAATGATTGCACAGGTATTAACAGTAGCACATTATATTTCTAAACCAATTTTCGTTGGGTCAGAAAGGCAGCATTTAGTATAATATTTTCTCAAATCATGTAATTCTGTTGATGACTTATTCAACTTTTTGATAGATTCACAAATCAAGTTCACTCAACATTTGACACAGAAATAAGAAAATATGTTAAAGTTTGAAAAAATAAAAACAAATATCATAGCAATTCATTCAGGTGCTACGATATGACTTGTATCATGATTCATAACCAGGTCAATATTTAGCAAGAAAACAACAGGATAAATAAATAATTGATATTTTTAGTCCTGCCAAAGTTGTAGAAATAAAACTGTTTTATATCTCGATATTGATATGGATCAAAATAAAGGACCAAAACAATTTAAGGGTGTTTGTGTACCTATGGGTAATGTGTGACGTGGATTAAGAGTGACAGGGTTTTTTTACTGAAGCGACAAAAAAAAAAACATAAAAAAGAATTGTGAAAAATCGATTCTGCGTCCTGCGATTCATTACGTGGATCGTGAGAAGGTGAATCGCGCTACATCGATTCAATGATATATGATGACAGCTCTAATTTAAATAGAACATCAAATGACCATATGAAAGTTGCATGTACTTGAAGCCAGTGTTTTTGTCAATTGCACACTAATCTGAATAAAATTATTCGATATATTATAATGGTGTGATAATCTGCCAATCGCTAAGATAATTAATGTTTCTTAAATTAACCACTTTAAGATCAACTAACCTGTGATCACCTTTCAACCCGTCATTTGGTGACAAGGTTAATCCAATCTATTGTTTTTGTTGATTTATTATATTGTTTAATCATTCATTGTTCATCTGTCGACGTGTCAGTTTTAATTACAACATTTACTTTTATCCTATTATCTGATTTTCCTTAAAGACCACGTAAGATCAAAAATCTAAATTTAATGTACGTATAGCCCATGGTTACTATATCAACTTTACGGCAAGTTCACACCAATCTGATTTAAATTAAGTCCGCTGTTAACGTTTAAGTATCCGACACGCCAAAACGCTTTTCGATTTTTCAATTACGACCTTAATCCGGTTGATTGGCTGGTGACGTCACAGGCACTACACATAGGATATACGTTATCTATACAATATCTCACTGTCTGTACAATATAGCACTATCAATACACACGGCAACTGGACAAGCGTCTATTGACGGTCCAATTACCATGCGACTGGCCTAATCATAATCACCGAATTATCGTCTTTCATTGGTATAGATTAGACATTTGTGATTGGAATATTTTAGAGTGAATTTAAAATGCTGTATCATGCCGTAGATCAATTTAAGCTGCCTTTGTTTAAATAGGCCACGTGTCAAATGAAGATGACCCAAGCAATTAGCGCATTTACCGGTAATTTGGATAACCCCGTAATACTTGCGGATATCCCAAACTTAAGTACAGAAATACAAATGATGCCAGTCAATTGTCGATATATTCATTATTAGCTATACATAATAATAATAACCATTTCTATACACAAAGAACAACTTGTATCGTAACTCAATTTGAAATTCACAGCGAATATGGAATTTTCCAATGAGCATGCATAGATCGCCCTCATTTCTCAGCCAATCAACGTTGGGAACCTTATTGCCATGTACGGTTCCATGCACTACGGGCGTAGTTACTGAAGTTAAACTTTGGCGCGAAAATTCCATGGGATTCATGGACATGCATATTAAATACGCGGAGTTCCTGATGCCGTTTGGGGAGTGATTAAACTGTCAATGCAATTGTAAAATACTTTTATTATAAAGAATATTTCATATCCAGTCAATTAAATGTTGTTTAAACGCCAGTCAACAAATAATGCGATGCTACTTGATTACACAAACACAAAAATTAAATAATAATTATAAACAACTGATGAGTAAAATTTAATTATTTTATACAATAAATATGTGTGTATACGATTCTACCATTAGTTCATTTGTAGGTACTGCGCACACGTTCCACCTAGACTGATGCCTTTGATCTGGCCGGCGTAAAAAAGATAATTACCTAATCAGCATTATTAATCCCACTAATAATCACTGCTAACACCGAGATGTAAATTAATTAATGACCCCCAAGTCTGTATAAGTTTAGTCGGATTGATTAATTAATGACTGATGTTAACGGCACGACTATTATTATCAATACACAAAGATAGTTAGATGACACTTCTCATTACCAACAAAATTTATTTGTACTGTATATTGAGATATTTTTTCGCATTTCATTTTTACGGTCTATTTCAGAGTAATGAAGTCAAATCCGTCGTACGACGATTACAGATCGTCATTTATAAATCGCTTTTCATTCATGTTTGACTTTTATGATACAATTTGCGTGACCACATCTTTTTACCCCTGTACTTTTTTACTCGGGGAAATTAGAACCACAATACTCTTTTGACGAAAATGTATCTCTAATCAATTTGACTGCACACGATGTTAGAGGGTATTAAAATTGCTGTCATGAGAAACGAATTCTAAATTGAATCTTAAATTAAAATGAATTACAAAACAAATTATTCCGTAGTCAATTGTTTTATTTAATTAAAGAACTAAGGGGGATTAAGGAACCAGTCAGGCGTTAATGAGTACACATGCCGGCTGTATATAGGTAATTAAGGAATAAACATTCCGAATATGCATTCGGTCACTGTGACGTCACTGGTGTCTGAGGGGATTAAGAGTGTTTTCGATAATTGGCAAAGTCGTTTTTACGGGAGGTCCATTTTTACGACTTTGAGTGAAGATAACTGAATTAATTTCAATCAGATTGGTGTGAACTTGCCGTAAAGTTGATATTGTAACCATTGGCTACACATATCCAAAAGTTTCCAAGCCCATCTTATGTGCACTTTAAATATAACAAAATTCGACATTGATGGCAGTCACTAGTTAGGATCCCTTACTAAGTGCAGTAACTGGCCTGTCAGTACTATATGACAATATATGTACATTTATGTTCCGGCATATTAAAGAATTTAAGAATCATTTAAGGTCTGTTATATCCGACGAGAGAATTTACACCTCTACACCTCTAAAATATTACTGTTTATGTGTGAGACCCTCTAAAACACTTCTCAGTTTTTTGATTACAGTACACATGTACAAGCTGATGTGGATTAACGGCGCGCTTCATTTAACATGCTGGTTCTACTTATCATTACCTAAGTTATAAAAAAAAAACAATTCTATATCTGGTAGAAGTGTTCTGTTGTTAACAGGCCTTTCTGGTCTAGTATTGTTATAGATTATAAAATAACTTATGAGTGGATTATAATATTTTAGAGTAAATTTGCTAATACTGCATTATCTTTAATTGTGTGACTGAGAATTGTGTTAGGCTTACAAAGGTAGATACTACTCCTTTTTTCATAAATTTACCAAGTACGAAGTATTGTGGAAGAGTGGGTTGTTTTTGTAAATTACGCCAATCCTGAATTGTCAACTTAAGGTCACAACAGGGATTTGCAATAACCTTTTGTTATGGTCTACGGCATAACTTTATTGAATATTTCGGAACACTCAATCGTTACCTTCCATTATCGACTTAGTTAGCAGTTAGTCAACAAATAACACAAACATTTATTCCTTTTTCATTATGAACGTCTTTCAAAGAAAATAATCCAAAAGAGGCAGATACCTGTGACTTTCTTGTTGTCTACTCACATCGACATCTTTTTAATTTGTATATCAACTTCTGCTTATTTAACTTTGATGAAAATTATTCAATAAACACCATTATCTGGCCTATTTAACTCGTAAATTCAAAGTTAGTATAGAGTGAATCAAATATAGCATAGGAATTCAATTCTTGTGTCCTTTTTGCAATATTAAACCTTATTTTAATTCAGTCATGTGACAAAAATAACAGGACACATGTATAGCTAGCTGTGGTGGCTTCTTTAATGATCAAGGAACTAAACTTGACCAATGAACAATCTAAATCTCCTGACTACTAAGGTGCTAATTAATTGGTGAGATTAACAGAAGTAATTCTCATAAAAGTTATAATAGACAAAACATAGATTACGTAAGTATGAAAGTTAACAAACTATTCTCAGTTTAATTTGTTCTAAATTATTACACTGCTAGAGGAAATGTGAATATGCCACTTGTGTTGTGGATGTTTCATTACGAAAAGAATGCACTATGCGTATATGTGAGATGAATATGGACAAAACATATATGATGGGGCTATAGCAGTCATGTGTCTTGTTCGAATTCCTCCTTTTTCTAAATGACCAATAACATAAATAATACAAATGTTTATATGATTATGTTGGCTTACTCCAATATATTCTGATAAAAATGATATGGGAATATGGCTACAAGGACAGTCTTGGTTATGGCATTTATAAAACGAATTCTAAAGTTAATCACTCTAATCTGCTAAATCTGCTAATTTGTCTTGATCATTTCATATATCTAAAAGATTATTCCGTACATGCAACATTTTCCCAAAGTTTCATATTTTTTCGTGGAAAGCTCCTATACTTGGTTAGCATTTGAAAAAGAGTGATTTTAACTATTTTCCTGTGTGAGTTGATTTTCAAAGCTAATTCTACAACAAACCGACTAAGATACGCCTTTTAATAATGATTGTTCAAACAATAACCATTGATACATTATATATGTGATAAGTAACAACTTCTAATATGGTGTAGTAAAATATCTACACTGTATTGAAATATTGATTTTCTTTGCACAAGTTGACCATACTTTTTCTGTAAAATGCGATGGCAAATTCTTAATCTATATAACGTTCTCTTACAAACCCCTTAATTTCAAGAATATAAACTGACTAGAAGGAATTAAATCAGATCACAATAATCGAGTTGTATAACAGTAGTTTCAAAACTTGGCAATGGGTACTCTGATTCAAATGCTCGTACCTCGGTCAATATTAATGCTAGAGTCATATAATTTGGCAATTTTGCAGTATGTACTATAACATATGTTTTTTCATAATTTTCTGTGGGGATCACTTTACAAGCACAGGTCAAGTGGACATGGAATGACCCATTTGCGACTTTGAGTAACAATGGATCAATTAATTTGAATCGGATTGATGTGAACTTGCCGTAATGTGTATATAGTAACTACTGGCTATAAGTACATAAAATTTTGTTTGGCCATTTTATGTGCTTTTTTAGCAACTTATAATTTCCAACAAAAGCTTCCTAGTACACTATCCAACATTTCAAAAATGAAAGATTTCTGTGGTTAGCTATAGGACAATGGATTGATTGTCCCAGGTACAAATCCTATTGTAGACTGAGACAAACCTTTGGGTATTGTTTAAGCACAGTTCTCGTGATCAGTACTGGACAAGGAGAGTGTCAGGTTTAAGCACAGTTCTCGTGATCAGTAGTGGACGAGGAGAGTGTCAGGTTGGGGTGATAGGAAGGAAAACCAAGGTCCACATAAAAGATCCCTTGGCAGTAGGAATTTGAATGAGTGTAAATGGAAACACATTTTACACATAACAATAGAAATAAAATTTGTAGAATGTTAGTCTTAGAATGAGATGAGTAAGGAATAAAAAAAAAATGATAGAAAACATCCAAAATAGAGAACAAGTTTATATAATATTATTGTTCAGTATAGTTTACTAAACTTTATTGAAATATGTATATCATGATTATGATATCAATGAAAGCTAAATACGCATTTTTTTAAAATAAGAAATACATATTTGAGAACAAATAATTAGTGAAATAGATTTATTGAAAGAATTTTTATATACTCATGTTTAAATTTTCATCCCAGTACATCAGTCTACTTATTTTTGTCCCCTGCCTTTCGAAGAAATCAAGTGACTATTAGAATGGGTTCGTCCGTCCGTCCGTCCGTCCGTCCGTCTGTCTGTCCGTCACACTTTTATCCATGAGGTCTTGGATGTCAAATATTCACTTAGACTCGCCTAAGACAATGATTTAGACGAACTACATCGAAAATAGTTTGTGAACTCAAAAATAAAACCAGGGCGTTTTCAGGAATTTCTGCACATGGAGACATGTAGAGTTTGGTGTGAGGTCTGAGGGAATATCCGAGGATTTGATAAAATTTGACAAGATTTTTGCTCATTTACATGATACATTGGGGTGAGGCCAAAACGGCTGCAATGCTTAGCACCTTTGTTCAACGTTATTTAAATGACATCCAGACCTCCTTCTGGACACACACCTGAAAGTCTGCATTTTCCATCTGATTCTAATTAAACTCTGTGTCCTTGAGATCCCAGATTAGTTTGAATCTGAACATGATTGGTCAGTAAACATGGAGCAGAGATATTCAATGTCTTGAAAATGTTTCAGAGCTTCATTCAATCTATTTATATGCAAATAATGATGGTATTTTTAGAGTAGTATGCAACCTTGAAGACTTCCATCACAGTAAATGTGTGATGTATAAATTAATAAAAGATTAATGTGACTTTTCAAATAATTTGTTTTTCTCAGCACTTTTACCTACCTTTTTACTTAGCAGATTTTACTGTGTGTGTCTGAGTATTATTACCTAAATATATTCTTACTTGGAGAAATTTGAATGCAAATATATTCCTTATTTATTTGTTTGAATGATTATACTTTTTATACTTATTTTTGAATGTAATTTTAGTTATATTTTGGTTTATGCATGCTTTCTCAGTTTATAATTTGAAATATTTTCAGAATTCTGTCAACAGGATAAAAAATGTAACAAATCAGGATATGAAGAAAAAAGGGGACCATATAAAATCATCACCATGGAAACGCAGCTTTACCCAATTTTTGAAGAAGAAGAGGCCAATGAGAACACCAAGTAACAACAATAATAATGATTCCTCAACTAATCAGATTGCAGGTCGTAATGGTCACACTCCCAACAGCCCAGTTAATAAATCTGAAACCAATATTGTTGAAGGTCGTAGTAAAGATTCAGAAAGCAGATGGATTTTAGCTCCCAATAATTCAATTGGCAATAATATTATATCAGGTACAACATTTACAAGTAGAAAATCAAAAAGCAATGTCAAAAAGGTATTTGATTTAAAAATGATTCAAGTGCATTCAAAATTGGAATTTTCAGTACCGGTAGCACTTGTTGAAAACTTTATGTTAAACATATATAATGTCTGATAATCACACAAGTGTACCTAGTTAGCCTTTTATTGATTTGAAAGCAAACACAATCAATAAAGCACTTAATGTATTTCTTAAATTTATTTAAAAGCCAAACATAACCAATGCTTTAAGGAATAGAGTTACTGAATTGTCAGTAACAATCAAATAAAATTATTATACCGTCAAAGGGAGACAACTACTTTAAGACTCTCTTTAGAAAAAGATCACATTATGTCCATTATAAACTCAAAATGCCATACACATAATATTTAAATTTCATTTTATGTTAAATATTTCTTGAGGATGTTAAATATTTCTAAACATCTTAGAAGGCGCAAATGCCATTCAGCTAAGAGCTAAGTACAAAACAAACATATTAATTTTTAAAAGTCATTGGTCCAAATGTAAATTCAAACAGTTCACGTATTTTAATATTTGTAAGGGCCTGTAATGGCTGTATGCATTCCATTACTTGTACTTAAATATAAAAAAAGGTTAACTATTTACCATCTCATACAGGGCTTACCGGTAGTCTTTTAAATGCAATACTTTTCATAGAGAGATGACAATCATAATAATATTTAAAAGGTTTAATTTTGTATAAGTAGGTTTTTGAGCAGAAACTGGATAATCCTATTGTTTTTTGTTAATTTTTAAATTATGACATCAATAAAAGTTGTGGCCGATGAGAATCCATTTGTGATAAAGTTCATTTTTTTTATATCACTGTTTCTCAATTTCCGCCCGTTTCATATTGCTTTTTGACTGCAGGTACCTGCATTAAAAGTTTTATGTAAAGAAAACAACAAAAAATATATCATTTATTGTCTTTTCAGAAGTAGAACTTCAGTCAAGTTCATTAGCTCCTCGTTCACCAAGTCCAACCCCTCGAGTATTTGATTTCAGTGTTATAAATGATTCACCAAAAGGTAAATCGTGCCTTCTCAGTTGGAGAACATGTCGTGATTGTGGTATAAGTGAGGCATCGTCAGAAGAGGTAAACATGAATCAGGTCAGATCATGACATTGAAATAAAGAGTTTGACGCAAATACAATATGTAACACAAAACATAATGTATTTAAATTTAATTCATAGTATTTCAGATTTTAGAATTGGTTATTATATTTTTATTTGAATTTGCATGATATTTTTTTCCTATTATTTTCATTTACATAAATTTCAAATCATCTGCATGTATTTCTTCTCTGTTTTTATACGCCCACATGGAAATGTGGTCGTATATTGCCGTTGCCCCCGTCCGTCCGTCCGTCCATCTGTCTGTCGGTCGGTCCGTGGTCCACAATTTCTTGTGAACACTCTACAGACTACATTTATCATCTGATTGTTTTGAAATTGATATATGTCGTTTGCATTAGTGAGATGAAGAAGCCTATTGAATTTCAATAACTTCCGTTAATATCTTCTGGAGTTATGGCCCTTGTTTCACTTTGTTGCACCTTGTGAACGCTCTAACGACAAAAGTTATCAACGGATCTGTATGAAATTTATATGCATCATTTAAATTAGTAAAACAAAGAAGCCTATTGAATTTCAGCAATTTCCGTTAATTACTTCTAGAGTTATGACCCTTGTTTACTTTGTTGAACCTTGTGAACGTTCCAACGACAGAAGTTATCATCCGATCTGTATGGGGGGGGGGGGGGGTGGATGGCTGAATGGTTAGCGTGCGCGTGCTGTATCATAAAGTCTGTCATTGAGTCGACTGGCGTTGTTTCGAATCCCTGGTTGTACATGGCAAGGAGCAGGGTCGCCTGTCCAACCTCGTGGGTTTTCTCCGGGTCCTCCGGTTTCCTTCCACTGCTAAAGACCCCTACACACAAGCGAATTATTGAAATAAAATTAAACCATGTTAGTCCCAAAATGACCTAGTTTGTGTCGAGTGGACGTTAAACCCCATTTCTCTCTCTCTCTCTCCGATCTGTATGAAATTTATATGCATTATTTGAATTAGTAAAACGAATTTCAACAATTTCTGTAGATTACTTCCAGAGTTATGGCCCTTGTTTTAGTTTTTAGAACCTTAACCCTCAAACAACGAAAATTATAATGTCATCTGTATGAAATTGTCTATTAAATTCCCTTAATTACCTAAAAAAGTATAAATATGCGACAACCCTTGTCGACTGCTCGGACTATTTAGCTGCTGTGGGCGGATGTTTTTGTTGCCTGGCAACCTATCTTTGATATTCTTATAGTTGTTTTATTTTTATTATCATTATTTTTTCTCTTTCAACTTTAAGCATTACAACTAAAGTTGTACAGTACACCCACATTCTACATTCCAATGTTCTGCACATGTTGGACTGACCATATGTTGATCATTGTCTGATCACTTGACGATTACTGTCAAACATATCAATTTAATCTATGTAATTATGATTCTCGACAGAATGTGGGCATACTGCATAATTAAAAAAGATTTTTGTTTGGAATATCAACAATGTTGTATTAGGGTCCAATTATCTCTGAATTTTGTTTTACATTCTTAATATATCAGTGGGGGCTGTGTAGTCCAAAGCATTGTGCAGCAGACGTTCAGTTGGTCAACACTTTGACCATGAGTTCCATCACATAATTGCATGGGGCAAAATGCACAAATTGCCTGCTTAACCTTGAAGGATATTTGAAAGTTCTACTGGATTTTCCCCATTGCACAAGAGCTTCATGCAAAATAAAAAAATATTTAACCTTAAAATAAATGTGTCTGTTGAGTGGGCATTAAACATGATATCTCTATCCATCATCATAGTGGTGGTAATCAATTTAATATAATCCCATCAGACTGGTACCTTGAAAGCAAATTCTTATCTATATGTTGTAACTCCTGTAATTAAAGTCTGCATTGCATTTTTATATGCCCACATTGAAATGTGGACGTATATTGCTGCCGCCCCCGTCCGTCGGTCCGTCCGTCCATCCATCGTTGACAATTTCTTGTGAACGCTCAAACACCAAAAGTTATCATCCAATTGTTTTAAAATTGATATATGTTGTTTACATTAGTGAGATGAAGAAGCCTATTTAATTTCAATAATTTCTGTTTATTACGTCTAGAGTTATGGCCCTTGTTTCACTTTGTTGAACCTTGTGAACTCCAAAAGTTATCATCCGATCTTTCTGAAATTTATATGCATTATTTAAATTAGTGCGACGAAGAAGCCTATTGAATTTCAGCAATTTCTGTTTATTACATCTAGAGTTATGGCCCTTGTTTCACTTTAGTGAACCTTGTGAAATTTATATGCATTATTTAGATTAGTAAAACGAAGAAGCCTATTGAATTTCAGCAATTTCCATTTATTATGTCTAGAGTTATGGCCCCTTGTTTCACTTTATTGATCCTTGAGAACGCCATTTACAATAATTACTTCTAGAGTTATTGCCCTTGTTTCACTTTGTTAAACCTTGTTAATGCTTGATTGTTGAAAGTTATCATCCGATATGTATGAAATTTATATGCATCATTTAAATTTGTGAAACAGGTCTATTGAATTTCATCAATTTCCGTCAATAATTTCTAGAGTTATGGCGATTGTGAACGTTTGAATGACAAAAGTGATCATGTGATCTGTATGAAATTTATATGCATTATTTAAATTAGTAAAACAAAAAAGCCTGTCAAATTTCAACAATTTCTGTTGATTACTTCCAGTTGTTTCAGTTTGTAGAACCTTGTAAACCCTCAAACGACAAAATTTATAATCTGATCTGTATGGAACTGTCTTGTAAAGGCCCCCAATTACCTACAAAGGAATAAATATGCGACAACCCTTGTCAACCGTTCAGACGATTTAGCTGCTGTGTGCGTATGTTTTGTTACCTGGCAACCTATCTTAAAAAATTAAGATCGACTCCGGTCCATCTGTGACGTCACATGTGCTCTGGTTCCCATCGACTAGAGGGCAACCGCACATCCTCAATCAAGCCTGAAGAGTTCGAATAAGAACGAAACTAGTAGCTGAGAGAAATCTGGGAAGGCTGTTCGCCTATTTACAGATTTTAAACTAACAACAATTATGAGGACATTAATCATCAAACAGAAATATTTATAATATGTGTAGCAGAAGTGCATTATCATTTCTTTATTGTTTTTATTACAGGAAAGTGAGATTGGTATTCAGCTGGAGCAAAATGTTAACTTAAATTTGAATTCTACTTTAGAGGCGAACAATATTCAGGAGTCAAGCTGTTTATCAGTCTATCAGTATGCTCCCACATGATGGAAGCAATCAAAAATATCATTTTTACATTTATTCATCTATGTAATTTTAACTTCAATATTGAAAGGCAGACAGAGATTACAGTAACATTTCGATAACATCTGTTATGATATTGTGATCAAAATAACAAAATTGTTTTTCAAATCTTTCTGCTCATCTTCAACAAATTGTTTAAATTCAGTGGAAGGTAATTGATTTTGTGAGGCTATCAACCAAATATTGTTGGTGTGTTTTAAATCAAGCATTAATTATTCCGTGGCTGTGTGGAACCATATGAAAGTGTTCAAAAAACTCTTCTTAAATCCAGTGTGTGTAAAGTCAGTGTGATTGTACAGGGATATTCTGTTTAAAGTGTATTAAGATGGAAAAGCTAAACTAGAAACCTTTAATGGCTATATTCTGACATGATTTTCATAAAGATGGAATGTTACAAGTGAGAAAGACAAATAAAGATATGTATACATATATTTTAAGCATGTGCTAGTACAATACTGTCATTAATTCTTCTTGGGTTTTAGATAACCAATCTGGCATTGACCATACCTTTCTTATAATATCTACCGGTACTGATGATCATGATTATATGATGATTAATGTACAGTGAATGGCAGCTTGTTGAATTCCAGTTAGTCCTCAATTTAATAATGTTTAAAAAAATGTAATCTTATTAAAGTACCTAAAACCTACATCAAACCTTTAGGGTGAACTTAAATTCTTTTAATGACATTTCGACTAGACTTCTCTAGTCATTATCAAGCAATGGTAAAATATGAAAATATAACAGGACAATATATACATGTACACAACAATACTTGGTTAATGCAGACCAACCAGAGATACCCCTAAATTACGTATACCTAAAGCGAATCTAATTTAATTAGGGATTATAAAGTTTAATGCTAATAACAACATTCAATAAGACCAATTTACCTGAAAATTATTCCACAACAAGTGATTAATCAATTTGTGTTATATACAATGATTTGATCAGGTTTTAATAATCACAAACCCTGAAAGAAAATGAATTCATTAATGAAATCAGCGACCACTTTACCTGAAATTAACACACATTATTAATAGATAGCTTGTTGTGGAGTATTTACAGTGATCTGATCAGATTTTAATAATCACAACACCCTAAAAAGATAAAATTTGGTTGGTATTATAAATATTATATTTTATCTTTGCTTGATAATGACTAGAGAATCCTAGTCGAAACGTCACTCAATAATAAGCAGTAATTGTATTCCATAGAATTGTGACCTGTATATATTAAATTATCTGCTGTTGCTGCTAGATAAATGAGTTAAACGGTTTTTAATTTATGTTTTTAACTATTTCTATCTAAAAATGAATGAATAAGCTTAAACATGCATTATGCAAGAGCTAAATCTGCCTATTACATATCTTTCTTTGAGCCTGAAATGTTATCTAAATTATTAATTGGACATTAATTAACTTATCCAAACTATAGTCAACTCTTGATGCCATCGTTAGCCTGGGATATTTTGTGATGGATAATCTAACGTAAAAATGGATAATCAAGACTTTGTTGTCATACCGTCGGTACTGACGACAGAGACTAGCCTAAAATTCAATAGCTATTATCTCGGTTTCGGGGTGGAGCAATTTGACTGAAATTTTCAGCATATTTTGTTTTCATTATCTATTTTTTAACTATTATAGTGAAAACTGTTAGCTCTTTATCTAATCTTACCTAATTCACCTTTAATGAACACTCACTGATTTATTTATCCATAAAACTGCACAAACATTTTTTTAAAAAGTCATGTACATGTACTTCTAAATCTGTACTGATCTACCAGTCTTCCGTGAAGTACACACTATTTATTTCAGGGATTACTTTGCTGATCCAATCGAAGTTATGGATAAACAAGTTGTGTCCATTTGTTAAATACATAGTTTTAAATCAATTTAGTAAATTTTTATTGAACACAAGACATTTGAATTTCAAAATTTTGTTAGATTATGTCAGTACAATTACAAAAGAATTAAATAGGAAGAGTGTATGTGTTTGTGTGTTTTACATCTTGAACAAAGATTCTTTTACTTGGACAAGATTATTGTACTTGCACATCATGGAATATATGTATAATATATATTATATATGTCATGATGCATAAACTATGTATCAACATATGTATATACAATCGTGTTTCAATTCATGGATGCATATACTTTCTTATACAGACATTGTTATTCATGTATTTATTGAAAACCAGTGGCCAACAAGGCAATGTTTCTTGGACAGTGGTCATTTGTGTATATAGTGTTTCATATATATATATATATATATATATATATATATATATATATATATATATATATATATATATATAAATAAACTTGGACTGTGATAAACAGTAATCATTATTCTTCATATTACTGAGTATACCTTTTTCATACTCCATTAACTACCAATTAGCTAGCCTAAAGTGATTGAATCTATATTTTGCACAATATATAACTGATGTATTTAATCCAACTTTATATTATCATATATAATTATTTATAATATGTATACATTCCTTTTTCATTGCTTCTCTTAATTGTTTGAATCAATCTCATTTATTTGCCTTTTTTTTCTTTTATCATACATAAAAATGTAAATTATCTATGTATGTTATGATATATTTCTATGTACATTGTAGCTTAATTAATTATAATTATAGGCTATGTATAATAATACAAGTAAATCCACATGCTATTTATATATTGTAAACAAATTCATAGTCTGCTTGTCGGTATTCCAGAGTATGAAATTAAATGATTTCAGCACATCCAAAATACAGCTGCTCAAAGTGTGATTAGGTCATATGATACCATTACTGAAAAAACTACATTGGTTGCCTGTTCAAGCCAGGATTGATTGCAAATTATTGTCTCTTGCCTGTCAGTAATTGGATGGAAGCGCTCAGAAGTGCCTATGCGATCTCTTGAGAATTTATGTCCCATCTTGGCAATTATGATCAGTTAATCAGAAAAAACTTTGTGTTTCTCACTGCAAGTAAGTCTTTTGGTGGTCGCTCTTTCTAAGTCGCTGCATTTACCAAGTGGAATAAACTACAGTTATACTATTAGACACTAGAGTATTATGCACCATGACTAAGTTTTGTGGATTTATAAATGGCCGTATTATTATTATATACTGAGACACAATGAAAACCCACCAATTTTATAAATGGTTGATTGCAAATCTTGTTTTGAGAGATACACTTTAATCATACAAGATTTAATGTAATGTCTGATCACAATGATAACACTGAGAACAATGTTTTCATGATTGTGTAAACTCACCACAATCCAATTCTCTAACACTAAAAATAGAATTCAACAGAATTGGAATGTTGACATTGAGATGGGTGGGGGGGGAACTAGGGTCAGTACATCTCCTTCAGTTCTGTGGAAGATGATTGCCACCTGAAAACCAAGAACACGCCAGTGCGTTAACTTGCAAAGGCATGAGTACCAGAGCCGTCTCCCAAAAGTTAAATGCCATCACACAACCATCCTCAGATTGGCGGATCATTTCCAGCAGTCAGGGTCCACTAGAGATTGGTCAAAGCTTGGCCAACACTGGGTAACAACGCCTCAACAAGATTAGCACATTATCCAACAACATCTGCAGGATTGCACGCTGCAAGTTATGCCTCAATCTGCTAAGAATCAAATTTGAACTGCATTATGTCTTGCCAGCACTTCCAGTCAAGTCAGTGGTGCATTTTCATTGTGTCTCACTATATTTAAATACAAAAAAAAACTTGATTTGATAAATTCAAATACTACAGAAATATTTTAAGAAATAATTTAGAAAGATAAATAAAGGGTAATCAGACAATAATAATTTCAATATTTTTTATTATTAAATTATATCTCTATAATAACATATAGCGTCTATATTATCCTAAAACTGCCAGATAAAATAAGGAGTTTTCATCATGAAAATAATTTCCAATTATTTATTTTACCTCTCAGCCCTCCCCCCTCTCTCCAAAAAATTAATAATTCCATTTATTCTTTTGAGTGACCATAATAATATATTGATCAAATTTTATACTTAACCCATTAGGTACCAAATTGAAAACTCTTAAATTACACCAGATCTTTTCAATTTTTTAGAAAATAATAATAATCCGTAATACCGGTTATCAATATGGAAAATTTATATGATTGCGATTGTGCAGTAATTAGTTGTACTTCAAGGGTTAATGACTTATTCAAGTCTATTTAAATTAAAGGGTTGACTAGAATTCATTTTCTGCTGAAGATTTTCAACATTAATTGATTTAAAGTCAGCAGTTCTGGTACCAAATTTAAATTTTTTGAGAAAAAATAAAGTATAAAGCTGCCATTTTAAATGTCTTGAATTTTTCTCTTTTTGTTAAAACAAATGGAATATTGTCCTTTGAAGGATTTCTCTTTTCTATTTTTACATTGCTTATGCATATCTTAAATTGCCTTGTATTGCACGATTATGCACATGTGTGTACATGTTTAATTATCTTTCTTTGCACATTATTTAATATGTAATATTTTTTAACTTCTAAATCATTTACTTACGATTTCAGTCAGTCTTGTAATATGAAACATTATGTGTGTGCATTTAGTTATGCTGTACACTTCTAGGAGGGCAAATAAAATCTCATCTCTGAATTCCTTTTTGGGGAAAGTCAAGAAGAAATTTTTTTTTATTGACCTATGTTATTCTAAAAGTTTATTATTAATCCCAATACATGTACACTTGGGGGCCTAGTTTTAGCACTGTTCTAGTCAGTATTTAAAAGGATTTTGCTATATAATGTGGGTGCATTGGGGAACCCAAACATGACCTGTCTAATCCCCTAGTGTATAATGTTAGTTGAATTACAGCAGTTTATGTTATAGTTAGATATAAATATTATTTACTAAAGATTATATTCATTAAAATTTAATTTAAATTCTGCCTTTATAGTGTGCTGTGTCTGTCTCTCTTCCAGGAATTGTAAAAGTGAATAGGGCAATACCATCTTGATGCCATTAGAAATATGCTTATTATTAGACCTCATGAATTTCAACTGAGTGGTATATTTTTTGATGGAAAACTCAAAATTTATAGCTCACTGAATTGAATATCATGTTTGGTCTAGGCTTTATATCTATGTGTTGAATATTATATTTCGTATGTACAGGTAAAATTATATGCAACTTGCAATTTCGACAGGATTCTATAAATTATATTATATATGTTTTAAGTCATCATTCATTGGTGTATTCAACAATTTATAATCCTGATTTATGATATATATTAGGGAGGTAGAACATTTATATACTCCCCAACATTACTAAGCATTATGATCATTATTAATATAAGATACATACATAAAAGGTGTGGATTAGTCATAGTACCTGTACATGTCATTATAAAGTAGAATCCTGCTATAATTTCATTTCACACCTACAGTTTGTAAGAAAGAGATCTGTAAAAAGTCAAGATTTTTAAGTTAAAGAAGTTAAGTACGGTAAAAGATGCACTTCCAAAATATCTTACATAGTTATCCCACATTTAAATTATGAACTTTAATATTCCAGAAAATGTTATAATAAATCGCGTAAGTATATATTTAAAAAAGGATAAATATGACATGTCTGATCAAAAGCGGTCATTGAAATCATATTTTCAAGTTTATGAAGTTATTTGAAAAATTATCAAAAATCACAAAAATGAAAGTCTGAGAGAGCTTTTTCAGATTTTATTTTCAAAATATTCAAATTTGTGATTTCATTAATGAATATTTCCTTATTTGAATTGTTTCATGTGATTTGAATTATATTATATATCTGAAAATCCAATTCTTTGTCCTACATGAAAGCTGGTATCATATGCTGATAAACATATACCGTTATTTAATTTTTCATACTTGAAACATTTTATTGACAGAGCTTGTTACAGATATAGATTTAACTAGATAATATTCACTGAATATATAGATTAATAGAGGCAAATCATTTTAACATCAGAATTTCAAAGACAAACGAAGGGTTTGGTGAAAGCTCAACCATGAGACAGTTTATTGTAAATAGATGATATTATTATTATGCCATTTTCTTTCATAGTTTTTGTGATATTTGTGTGATGAGAGATATGTTTGAGTGTAAGTTAATTTTTATATATATTATTCAACACAAGTGTTTTCCAAACAATTCTACACAAATATTATCGCATTTCATTCATTTGCGAAATTTTGGGATTAACCTTTTTTTTTAATTGTTACGAACACACTAGAGAATCTTAAGGTTTTTTCAATTAGTATATAAATACTAGTTATGATTATTACAACTAGTATATGCAACTATTATAGGAATTTTACTCGAATTTTCTCTTTTTTTCAGAGTAAAAATACTGATGTTATTATTACTGTATAGAATATTGCAATATTAAACTGTTTGCACCAGGAATTTCTTGTTTATTATCATTGAGTAAGATTTGATTTGTTATGCAATTATAGAAGGATCTGTTGCACTGTAATTTGTATATTAGTGGTGAGAAGTGAGAGATAATTCTGATAATGCTGTGGGCATTTATATTAACAAAATTTAATCAATTTTGGAGTAGGCTAGTTACTAAGGAAATAGTCAAAGATTGTTCAATTGTAGTTGACTTCCATGCTAGGTGCTTCCATGGAGACCCCCCACAAATTTTATTTAAATTTTTTCTCAAAAGTTTCACATTTTACAATGCTGTATGTTAACATTTTCTGTAGCAAATAAATTTTTCCACAATGATCATGTCTCCTTTGGTCTTATTTTCTCATACAAAGAAATAATTTATTAATGTTTTATTCTACTACTGTCAAAAAATTATTAAATTTTTTCAACTAACAGATTTCTCTGTTTTCTTGATCTTAGTTAAGATCATAAGCGCTTTGAAGAATCTTTATCATCATTTAAACCAGTAATGAATGTAGAGGCTTCAAGTCTCAAGACTACATGAATTTACAGAGCTTGTCAATTGATGCATCTAATGAATATTTCATTTTATTGTCCTTCGCCTTTCGAAGAAAGCAGGGGACTATTAAAATGGGTCTGTCTGTCCGTCTGACTTTTTGGGACACAATAACTCTCTTTCTAATTGAGCTAGAATGTTCAAACTTGGTATAGGTGTTTATTAGGTCAATGCCTTGATAGAGTTTGAAGATGAGCATTTTTTACTTAGGGTAAGCAGAGATAAGCAATTTGATTGATTTAGGACACTATAACTTTAGTTCTAATTAAAGATACATAGTTAAAAACTAGATAGTGTAAAGGTAATTTGCTGAAAATTTCAGTCAAATTGATCCACTATGAGCCGAGAAAGAAGCGGGTGAAATTTTTGCACAGTCTCGGTCATTATTACTAAAATCATTAATATAAACAGCATAGTCTTGATTATCCACTTTTTTTGATTTAATTATCAATAGCCGTTAGCGGCATATAGGAATCTAATCCAGCCAACATCGAAGGCTAGCCTTGACATCGAGAGTTAATTAATGTCCAATTGATAATTTAGATAACATTTCAGGCCTAAAGAAAGACTTGTAATAAGCAGATTTTGCTCTTGCATAATGCATGTTTAAGTGAAAATGATGAAACTTGGTGTATAGTTTCATTACATCAATACCTTGATGCTTTGGGGCATGATAACTTTAGTTTTAATGAAGTGAGAGTGATGAAACGCAGAGTATAGATTCATTATATCATTACCTTGACATAAGTTTGATGATGAGAATTTTCTGTTTAGACTAAGGAGCGATGAGCAATTTGATTGGTCAAGACTTTGGAACATATAACAACTCTGCTTTTAATCGAGGTAGAATGTTTAAACTTGATGTAGATGTTCATTAGGTGAATGTCTTGACTGAGTTCAATGATTAACATTTCGAGCTAAAGCTAAGCAAAGCTAAGCAATTTCATTGGTCGATGCTTTGGGAAAAGATAACTTTGATTCTGTCTAATAGAGAGTGATGAAAGTTTGCGTATAGTTGATAATCCGTTTGATTGCTTGATACTTTTGAAAAAAATAAATGTGCTATTAATTAATATGTGTCATCTATTTATTTTGGGATTTCGGTGAGGGACATCAGCCTCACTGTTGGCTTGTTCTATCAAGCTATACACTTATAACTAGCTGAACAGACAAGACAAGAAACACACAGAAAAATACTCAAGGAACCATAAGAGAACTAATTAAAGTAACTATGCATGATTTGCATTTTTCAGAAAATATCAAATTCTCCCAGGTTAGTCCACGGCTCCACGCTAATATGTACTACAATTGATTATTTAACATTTAATTAACAAAATCAAAACACCAACACTAGATACCCCCCCGGCTTGTATTCAATTGGATTTATACAGGCCCATCAATTAGGTTCATGGCAAATCAAGATGGTGGCAGTCTTGTGATGACACTTATGAAGCAAACAAATGAAATGAAATAGGGTTTAACATCCCACTGTTCTTCTCCAACTGGACTAATGAAGAAGAGGGGCATATGTCATACAGTGTGCTATGAGAGAAATTTTGCCCGGGCAGTGGCACTAAGGCCTACTCTTATATCGAATCCAACTGCCAAGAGATCTTTTATGTGCACATAATGTATACATGGTACCTCAGTTTTTCGTCGCATCCAAATGAAGCAGACAAGGATGAGTATATTAAAAGATAGTTGTCTTTGGAAATCACTCTTGTCACTTTTCCAAAGTAAGATTTGAACATTGTAAATAACAGTTTATATCAGATCTCTTTATTTTGCTTTAATCTGGATATGCTCAATTCTAATGAATTTTCAAATTTCATTTAACAACAGAGAAAGTTTCGTGATAAAGGTCTCCCACCACTAAGCTTTAATTATCATATACATTGCCAGGTTTAAGGAAAAGGATAGAGAGTCCACTCAACACAACATTTATTTTGACTATCCATAGGAACTTTTAGCAGTAGGAGTACTAGTCTCTGATCGAGGGCCACACAACTTTACTCAATTGCACATCAGATTAGACCACTCCCCTCACACACACACACACACACCCTAGGAAGAAAATAACAGCGTTATCCTTTATCTTATCCTATATACTGAATCCCATTTCCATATCATTTGCATCATTATAACGTGGGCCTTCAACTTTTCCAGGTAATATGTTAACAAAACATCACTGTGTTCCATTCAACTGTAAGTTATGTAGATAAATATAATTAACACAATGTCTGTGAAATAAAGATTTATTAAAGATCTATAAAAGTTAATTTAGTGACTAATAATAATAATACAATATATTAACAGTGTTATATATTTAATGTGAGTCATTTTATATATCACAGACAGAACAAGGAGGATTATTTCACTTTTATCACAGACATTAAGCACTTCGACTAGTAATTATTTCCCCTTTACTTCATCCTTTTTTTTCCCATAATCTGATGACTGGTGGTTTAGTTTTAGTGGAAATAGTTTTAATTCACCTATACTGCCAGATTTTACCAAATATTCATTATCTCAAAGGAATCCACTTAAAGATTGAGTCCAACCTATTTGATTTTCATCAAAGTAAGGTATTGAATTGGCTTGATGTGATGTCTTATTTTGATTAGTGGTGAGGCAAGCTCTCTAATAGCCAATTTTTGTTTCAAAAGATAAAGCAAACAGAATTTGTCATTTTTTTTTTCTCCTTTTGACACATAATACATATCAGTTATATCCCAATATTGGGTTTTAGACATCAAATTTCGTTATCCCACAAAACCAATGAACATACAATACTGACAAGTTTATTTTTGACCTAGTTCAAAGAGAAAAAGCCATTCTAACACTAATGTGCAAGACGATGAGCAGTAATGTTGTAAGGTGATATCTTATCTGAACCAGCGGCTGCCAGGCAGGATACGCTCACATTTTGCAAAAGATGGATAGAGAAAAAGCTAAACAAAAAGCGATTTTTTGTAACATCAAGGGCCATAATTCAGGAAGTTACAATCCGATATGAGCAAATATTGACAAGAACCAAGATCTTTGGGTCATAAAGATATATTTCAAGTTTCATCAAAATCGGAACAACATTGTGACTTCTAGAGGATCCACAACCTTGATATACCATATATTTACACTATTTGCGCACGAATGGCGGCCATTTTGTCCGGCAGTTTTGGTCAGCCGTCATTAAGGTGTAACAGTGAAATATTCAAACGTTTTTTTCAATCAGATAAAAAATTATGATCTCTAGAGGGACCACAAGCTAAAACAGCGATTTTTCGTACAATCAAGGACCATAATTCAGGAAGTTACAATCTGATATTTGCGAATATCAACAGGAACCAAGATCTTTGGGTAATAAACATGTATTTCAAGTTTCATTAAAATCGGATCAAAATTGTGGCCTCTAGAGGAACCACAACCTTGATATACCATATTTTTACACTGTTTGCGTATGAGGGACGGCCATTTTGTCCCGCAGATTTGGTCCGATTTTCACGAAATTCGAACTCAACCGTGATTAAGGTGTAACGGTGATATATGCAAACGTTTTTTTAAATCGGAATAAAATTGTGACATGATTTTTCGTACAATCAGGGGCCATAATTCAGGAACTTATGGTCCGATATGCGCGAATATCGAAAGGTACCAAGATCTTTGGGATATAAACTTACATTTCAAATTTCAACAAAATCAGATAAAAATCGTGACCTCCCTAGTGTCCACAAGCCATAATCCATGAAGTTACGGTCCGATACATGCCAATATCAAAAAGAACCCAGATCTTATGGAGATGAACCTATATTTCCAGTTTCGTTGAAATTGGATAAAAATTGTGACCTGTAGAGTGTCCACAAAGTAGAGTGTCCAAAAACAATTGTGGACAGACGGACAGGGGCGACAACAATATACATCCACATAAAAATGTGGGTGTATAAAATTGTAGACATTTCCACAATAATAAAATGCCAGTTAATAATATTTTAAAAAGATCATTACCTCCATTTCTCAGATTATTGTGTTTACTAGAGCAGAAAATTAAAAGAAAACAGTAAGGTTGTCTGATTAACAACGTCATTATTCTTTACATATTTGTGTATAAATATAAAAGACATGTTAAAACTATAATAAATAGGACTAATAGTACAAACATATAAAATAAGAGTTTGATAAAAAAAACAAAAACTAATAACCAGCGGCTACCAGGCAGGATACGCCAACATTTTGCAAGGGATGGATAGAGAACAAGCTAAAAACAAATGGGAGTTTTTTGTATAATCAGGGGCAATAATCCAGAAAGTTATGGTCTGAAATGCACAAATATCAAAAGGGACTGAGATCTTTGGGATATAAAGATATGTTTTAGGTTTCATCAAAATCGGATAAAGATTGTGACCTCTAGAGGGTCCACAACCTTTGTATTACATACTTTTACACAATTTGCGTACATTTTGTCGGGCAGTTTCATTTTGATTTTCCTGAAATCCGAATTCAACATTAATTATGGTGGAATGGTGATAAATTTAAACGGTTTTTAAAATCTGAACTCAATCAAAATTACGGCGTAACGGTGATATATTCGAACATTCTTTTAAATCGAATAATAATTGTGACCTCTAGAGGGATCACAAGCTAAAAACATGATTTTTCGTACAATCAGGGGCCATAATTCAGGAAGTTATGACCTGATACGCGCAAATATCGAAAGGAACCAATATCTTTGTGTTATAAACATGTATTTCAAGTTTCATCAAAATCGGATCAAAATTGTGACCTTTAGAGAGACCACAACTTTGATATACCAGATGTTATACACTATTTGCAGTGATATATTCGAACATTTTTTTAAATCGAATAATAATTGTGACCTCTAGAGGGATCACAAGCTAAAAACATGATTTTTCGTACAATCAGGGGCCATAATTCAGGAAGTTATGATCTGATACGCGCGAATATCGAAAGGAACCAATATCTTTGTGTTATAAACATGTATTTCAAGTTTCATCAAAACCGGATCAAAATTGTGACCTCTAGAGAGTCCACAACTTTGATATATACCAGATGTTATACACTATTTGCGTACAAGTCGCAGCCATTTTGTCTGGCAGTTTTAGTCTGATTTTCACGAAGTTTGAACTCGTCCAAAAATATGGTGTAACTTTTTTATAAATCGGATAATAACTATGACCTCTACAGGGACCTGAAGCTAGACACGCGATTTTTCGTACAATCAGGGGCCATAATTCAGGAAGTTACGATCTGATATGCGCAAATATCGAAAGGAACCAAGATCTTTGGGTTATAAACTTACATTTCAAGTCTCATCAAAATCAGAAGAAAATTGTCACCTCTAGTAGTCTGGAGGCTCCGCGCGGAGGGGTGTCCATCAAATGGGCACACAACCAGACCCAACTTTTCTAGAGTAAAATTTTATGTAGAATACGATCCCGGCTGGTAATCAGCCCGCCGTTGGGGCGTTTTCGAGATATTCGGGGTGAAAGGTCAAATGGGTTCATTTGCACTGAAAGTGGATGCGCGGTCATTCCAGTATCATGAAAATAAGCTGAAAATGATCGAAAGTAATCACAGTTTCAATAAAAATGTAAACTTGCTAAATTCATTTTTGTTCTTTGTGACCCCAGAGGCCAAAAGGTCACATTTTCCGTTTTAGCACTAGGAAGATTTAAAGTAACAAATGTCAGCGTAAAATATAAAAACTAAAGCGAAACCTGTTCTAACAAGCCAACAGTGAGGCTGATGTCCCCCGCCAAAATAGGAAAATAATTAGAGGACACATATAAATTTATCACAAATTATCTTTTACAAAGTATTGAACAATCAAACAGTATATCTTTACTTATAGTCTAAGCATACAATGTTTTTGATGGAATAATTATAGCATATTAAGGGGAAAACATACTCAATTCGAAGGAGAGTTATTGTGTTCCAAAGTCTCAGCAAATCAAATTGCTTATCGCTCTGCTTAATCTGAGCAGAAAATGCTCATTATCAATCTTAGTCAAGGTATTACTGTAATGAAACTATACACCAAGTTTCATCACTCTCACTTAATTAGAACTAAAGTTATAGTGTCCCAAAGCATCAACCAATCAAATTGTTTATCTACTTAATTAGAACTAAAGTTATAGTGTCCCAAAGCATCAACCAATCAAATTGTTTATCTCTGCTTACCCTAAGCGGAACGGACAGACAAACAGACAGACGGACGAACCCATTTTAATAGTTCCCTGCTTTCTTCGAAAGGCGGGGGACAATAAGCATGAATATTTACTCAATTCGAAGATCAACCAATCAAATTGTTTATCTCTGCTTACCATAAGCGGAACGGACAGACAGACAAACAGACAGACGGACGAACCCATTTTAATAGTTCCCTGCTTTCTTCCCTGTTTTCCAAAGTCTCGACCAATCAAATTGCGTATCGCTCTGCTTACCCTGAGCAGAAAATGCTCAATTATCAAACTTAGTCAAGGTATTACTGTAATGAAACTATACACCAAGTTTCATCAATCTCACTTAATTAGAACTAAAGTTATCGTGTCCCAAAGCATCAACCAATCAAATTGCTTATCTCTGCTTACCCTAAGCAGAAAATGCTCATCTTCGAACTCCATCAAGGCATTGACCTAATCAACACATACACCAAGTTTGAACATTCTAGCTCAATTAGGAAGAGAGTTATCGTGCCCCAAAGTATCAACCAATCAAATTGCTTATCTCTGCTTACCCTAAGCGGAAAATGCTCATCTTCGAACTCCATCAAGGCATTGACCTAATAAACACATACACCAAGTTTGAACATTCTAGCTCAATTAAAAGTTATCGTGTCCCAAAGCATCAACCAATCAAATTGCTTATCTCTGCTTACCCTAAGCGGAAAATGCTCATCTTCGAACTCCATCAAGGCATTGACCTAATCAACACATACACCAAGTTTGAACATTCTAGCCCAATTAGGAAGAGAGTTATCGTGTCCCAAAGCATCAACCAATCAAATTGCTTATTTCTGCTTACCCTAAGCGGAAAATGCTCATCTTCGAACTCCATCAAGGCATTGACCTAATAAACACATACACCAAGTTTGAACATTCTAGCTCAATTAGGAAGAGAGTTATTGTGTCCCAAAAAGTGTGACGGACAGACAGACGGACGGACAGACAGACAGACGGACAGACAGACGGACGAACCCATTTTAATAGTCCCCTGCTTTCTTCGAAAGGCGGGGGACAATTAATAATAGGAACATTTAAAATTTATCTTTAGGTGGTCTTAGCACCAAACTTTTACTTTGGAACGTCGAAAATGATCTTGCATAACAGAACCAAAACGCTTCGGAGCCTGTTTCAAAAATACACAAAAACTGTTGAATTAAAATCTCTCCGAATTAGTTTTACAACGAATGCTATACATAATGATACTAGTTGTCTGAAAAAAAAACAATTGAACAGTTCCATGGCTGGGCTCCAGCCTGCAGGCCGCGTTACAAATCCTGCCCAAATTTTCCCCGCTAACATTTACCAATACGACATATACATCCTGTGAACTACTATGTACAATGCATTCGTCGGTTTTATCTGCGTCCATGTTCCGCCGAAATTCATAAAAACACATAAAACATTTGCAAACTTTTAAATTCGTCGTCAGATACGTGTTTTCCCATCACAGATTAACGTCGGTTTTCCTAGACTGGGATTCTCGGAAATCCAACCGGCCTGCAGGCTGGAGTCCAACACTGAAACTATTCAATTGTTTTTCAGATAACTAGTATCATTATGTATAACAATCGTTGTGAAAATAAATCGGAGAGATTGCAATTTGACAGTTTTTACGTATTTTTGAAACAGGTTTCAAATTGTGTTGGTTCTGTTATGCAAGATCATTTTCGACGTTCCAAAGTAAAAGTTCGGTGCTAAGACCACCTAAAGATCAATTTTAAATGTTCCTATTATTAATTAGAACATGTTTCGCTTTAGTTTTTATATTTTACGTTGACATTTTATTGCTTTAAATCTTCCTAGTGCAAAAACGGTAATTTGACCTTTTGACTTCCAGGGTCACTAAGACCAAAGGTGAATTTAGCAAGTTTACATTTTTATTGAAAGTGTGATTACTTTCGATCATTTTCAGCTTCTTTTCATAATACAAGAATGACTGCGCATTCACTTTCAGTGCAAATGAACTCATTTGACCTTTGACCCCGAATATCATCGAAAACGCCCAAACGGCGGACTGATTACCACTCGGCATCGTATTCTACGCAAAATTTCACTCTAGAAAAGTTTGGTCTGGTTTTGTGCCCATTTGATGGACCCCCCCCCCCCCCCCGCGCTGAGCCTCCGGTCTATAGAGGGTCCACAACCTTGATATACGATATTTTTACGCTATTTGAGAACGAGGGGCGGCCATTTTGTCTATCAGTTTTGGTTCGATTTTCACGAAATTCGAACACAACCATCTTTAGGGTGTAAAGGTGATATATTCAAACGTTTTTTTAAATCGGATAATAATTGTGACCTCAAGCTAAAAACGTGATTTTTCGTACAATCAGTGGCCATAATTCAGGAAGTTACAATCCAATATGCGAGAATATCGAAAGGAACCAAGATCTTTGGGTTATAAACTTATATTTCAAGTTTAATCAAGATCAAAAGAAAATTGTGACCTCTAGAGGGTCCACAACATTCATATACCTTATTTTTACGCTATTTGAGTACGAGGGGCGGCCATTTTGTCTATCAGTTTTGGTCCAATTTTTACGAAATTCGAAATCAATCATCCTTAGGGTGTAACGGTAATATTTTCAAACGGTTTTTGAAATCGGATAAAAATTATAACCTCTATAGGGTCCACAAGCTAAAAACACGATTTTCTGTACAATCAGAGGCCATAATTCAGGAAGTTACGGTCCGATATGTGTGAATATCGAAAGTAGCCGAGATCTTTGGGTTATAAACTTACATGTCAAGTTTCATCAAAATCAGAGGAAAATTGTGACCTCTAGAGAGTCTACAACCTTGATATATCATATTTTTACACTATTTGAGTAAGAGGGGTGGCCATTTTGTCTGTCAGTTTTGGTCCTATTTTTACGAAATTGAATTCAACCATCCTTAGGGTGTAATGGTAATATATACAAACGTTTTTTTAAATCGGATAAAAATTATGACCTCTATAGGGTCCACAAGCTAAAAACGTCAATATCGAAAGCAACCGAGATCTTTTGGAGATAAACCTATATTTCAAGTTTCGTCAAAATCGTATAAGAATTGTGACCTGTAGAGTTTCCACAAACTACATCCGTCCGGACGGACAGGGGCGACGACAATATACGTCCACATGAAAATGTGGGCGTATAAAAATAATAAAAGTTAAAATGTAACAGATGATTCGACTCAAAATCATGTCATGCCTTCTACTTTACTTTGATAAAGCTTTGAATAACGTTGACTAAAGGTTTGAGGATTCCATGTTGGAGGTGGTTTTGCATCACGGGAAGGAAGGTAACTGAAATATTACAAATATATACAGATTCTAACATTGCTAACCTGCTAAAATAAAATGGTACTTAGTAGAGAGCGCACCAAAACACTTGTAAATTATTATACAGGGTAACCTCATATAGGTATTGGCAGTGAACCACAACATCATAACTTTTTTGTAGTTGTCCAAGTTATTTGTACAGTTGCTTAAATTTAAATTACATGCATTCACTAAGCTTCTTGCGAGTCCTACCAATTGGATTGAACCACAGTAGCCCCAATAATTTTTATTATCAACTAAATGATTACCGATATTGCCACATATGTGAGAGGTCCATATTGTGTTAACCTTGTCTATCTGTCATTACAGATTCCGTGCTTCCAAAAAGTTTGTGGCAGTGCTTTGAGAAATCTGGTGCATTTTAGGTAATTGCAATTTGAGTTATGTCCCAGTCGGCACATAATTATTTGACAGATTTTATAGACCCAGCCAGTACTATGAGATACTAAACCGAACCGAGATATATCATTTTACGGGTAGTTACAGATCAAATTCTATTGATGATCCATTCGATCTAGGGGAGGGGAGTCACAGTGGCTCAGAGGATAAGGCATTGGCTCACTAATCAGGAGGTCCAGGGTTCTATCCCAGAATTGGTCAAAAATAATTCCCAGGAAGTTTCCAGTGTGGTGTCCCTTTGTCAGTCGGTGCAGGATAGAGGACCTTGCAAGGACAGTATCTAGTTGTTTGGATGGGACAAAAAAATTGAGGTACTGTGTACTTATTAGCATGCAAGTAAAAGAACCCTTGAAAGTTGTCATTCAAAACAAGAGTACAGGTAGGCCCTAGTGCCGCTCTCCTGGCACAATTACAGTCACAGCACACTGTATGGCGTACGCCCGTCTTCATTCGTCCAGTCAATGCACAAAAGTAGGACATCAAACCCCATTTCATTTCAAAGATGATGATTCACATAAAGTATCAACACTATCTATTGGTACTTAGTATTACCAACACTTTATTTTTAAATATTTGATGCAATGTTTTAGTGTATTCATCATAGACCTACCTACCTGTATCCATTATATGTTATAGGTGATTGTTCTTCAGTATCACTAGTAGGTTGACTGGGGGCAGCTTTAGCCTCTGTAGCAAACTGATATACTATCAGTAAGCAATCTTTACATAACTGTACTATTCTACGACAACTATTCATTTCATTTTCACTAATACACTCAGAACTTTTACTGAATATAGTCTCCCATGAATTACTGAAATAGATAGATAAATCGCACATTATCACATAAATGATTAGGATTATGTTGAAAAGATTATTACAATATTACATGCTCTGAGTTAATCGCCCTGCAAAATGAAATTTTTGGGTGCTAAACTTTGTTTACTTTGCAATAGCACCATTTTTCAGTAACAGGCTGGGTAGGCTAGAAGAATTTAAAAACTGTAAATTGTAACATGGATGGGAAATCTTTCTTTGTTCTTTTCGTTGAATAAGCAGATTGTTTTCCCTCTAGTAGATTGATTGGAGCTTAACCGTGCAATAACTAGACTTGTAACATGGACGGGAAATCTTCCTTTGTTCTTTTCGTTGAATAAGCAGATTGTTTTCCCTCTAGTAGATTGATTGGAGCTTAACCGTGCAATAACTAGACTTGTAACATGGACGGAAAATCTTCCTTTGTTCTTTTCGTTGAATAAGCAGATTGTTTTCCCTCTAGTAGATTGATTGGAGCTTAACCGTGCAATAACTAGACTTGTAACATGGACGGGAAATCTTCCTTTGTTCTTTTCGTTGAATAAGCAGATTGTTTTCCCTCTAGTAGATTGATTGGAGCTTAACCGTGCAATAACTAGACTTGTAACATGGACGGGAAATCTTCCTTTGTTCTTTTCATTGAATAAGCAGATTGTTTTCCCTCTAGTAGATTGGGTGGAGCTTAACTGTGCAATAACTAGCTAGACATGTTCAATGTTATTGCACTCTTTTGCTGGTTTACATATAGAGAAGTGAGGTGGGTTTTCTGTGCAATAACAACGAGCATGTTGAGCAGATGTCGATGTTACAAGTCATTTATAGCACGCTTCATTCGTTAGCAGGTTTAACCCCTCAGCCTACGGCCTCTGGTTAAACCTGTTAACTCATGAAAGCTGTGCTATAAATATAACTTAAATGCACAATATTCCAAAGCAAATATTTGACCCCCCATAGCATACTGAGTCACAATGAGGAAATTTTGAAAATTGAGTTATTGTTATTTTCACATTCTCCAACTCATTACTTTCAATTTGATGTATAATTTGTTTGAATTGGGCAAAAATTGACTGAACTGTGTCCATTAGAAGCTACCCAACTCACAAAAGTAAGTTTTGAGAAAAAGCAAGTCAAAGATTTGGTATGTTCCAAAACAAAATCCCATTGTAACCAGGCCATTTATTTGCTGTTTTGTCGTTGAATATATCTTTCCATGGGTTTTCAGGGGTGCCGAAGACGAAAATCGTAGTAAAAATTTGATCCGACTATTTCCGCAATTTATTTGCTATTTTGTCGTTTAATATGTTTTTTATTTGGTATTTCAAGGGTGCTGACGACAAAAATCGTAATAAATGCACTCCTTTTGTAACGAAACAACCACAACACATACGGCATAATATTCACATGATATTGTTATACTGAAGAACAATCTATACATTAGTAGTCTGTTGTGTATATTATAACTTTGGTGAGATTAACATTAGCACCTTAGTGCCAGCTAGTGGTCAGGAGATTAAGATTGTTGATTGGATAATCATCAATGAAGCCGCCACAGCTGTACGCGTGTTCATTTAACACATGAATTAAAATAAGATTTTGCGTGTACGATAGGTCTATTATTATTTTCAGGTACCGTGACGTTATCAAAATATGAGTCCCTATAGAAATGTCAATTTCATAGTCAAGAAATGTTTAATTTCACTTTCGTGCATTTGGCTTTGATGTAAATATCAACATTATTCAGAGGATACTCAATGGCAGACTCGAGAATCGTCGCATTTCGGCTCATTGGTCGTTCTCATTTTTTCGACCCATGGTGATAAGAGAATTTTAAACAATAATATACAAGATGCATTCCTTACTTTGCATGCCGTATGAAGAAGCGACAGGAGCGGAAATCAGCTATCAATAAAATTCTCTTCGAGAAGAAAATTATTGGCCATTTTGTTTATTTCCATTTAAGGCCTATAGATTATTTTTTTTAAAGATGATATGAGATATCAAATAATCACCACTTGGATTAATTATTCGGAGTAAATAATGAGTTGTCGACGGCTTTATCATTGACCCGTGACAGTTGATTAGTAATAGTATTACTCAATGACACACACCTGCTTGTCGATTAATTTACATAATCAGCCATGTGGTTTCGATTAACACTGAACGGCAATCTATATACGATCAGAATTAATTTTTTTTTCTGCCACTTATGAGAGTGAATCGCATGTAGGTATCCAAAAACATTATCGCCAAAACCAAATATTTATCGATAATGCCTTGCACGCGGTTTCTAGGCCAATCAGCAAACGAGTTGTGTAGACAGCATGGCAACAGACAGAGTTTATTTATATTTTTAGGGGTTTTAAAACTTGATTGTATCCATTCAAAATCAATTCATCAACAATATTTTGATCATATTTGTAAACAAGAGATGTTGGGCTTTACAACAATGCCAATTATTATGCAAGAGGAATCACCGGTCGTTCCTCTGCGAGCGAAGAAAAATAAGTCATTTCGACGAGAATTTTAAGAAATAGGACAGATTTAAGAATCTGGTACTCTTACAAAACGTTCAAATACAGGTGTTTTAAAATGTTTTATTGCTATTTTGATCTTCTGTGTCGATAGATAGTATATTTATAGACTCATTTTTGTGAAAATCTCAATTTCGATCAAAATCAATAGTTTCACTTATTTTGTCTTTATCTCATTATTGATTCGTGCGCATTTTGACTCATTTAGTTGTGGCCAGTTAAATATAGTCCATATACATTAAATACAGTCCATATATATTAAATATAGTTCATTCAATCTATGTTAACTGAATTGTTTCATGACATCTTCAGTCAGCTAATGAAGAATACCTTGTTTTTATCCATGAAAATCTATCCTAGGATTTTATATTTAATCAATTGTGCCTTCTGTCACATTTAGACTTTTAAGATGCCAGTGAAAGTGAAAATAATTACCCAACAGATGCGAAACAATTCCAAAGACCTTGACCATGACTCCACAGTAGTCGATTAAAAACCCGACTAAATATACGAAACAATCGTAGACTGTCAATATCGGAACACTTCCATATTCTTTGTATTACAGCTCGTACATTAGATCGTACAATGTCAATAACCTTTAATAAAAACAGATGATACATTTTATTAGCAAGAGCTTACAATAATTCTGTTTGAAACATACCATTCATATTATATTATTATCCAACAATATTATAAAGGCTACTGTTTATATACTTACTTTTCTGCGTTTGATGGAATCTAATTTCACTAACCAATAGGATGCTATTCGTGGTTTATGAAACTTCATATTTTCATGTAACTGAAAAGAAACCAAACACTAACTTTATACATCGAATTACACTGTCTTCAGTTATGTTAATATTTCATGGATTTTTAGCTTTAAAAAATGATAACTATCTCATAAAAGATGTGTACATAAGACATCATGCTTACCCTATCTAATAAATTATCAGCCTCAGCATCTGATTTACCAGGAAATTTGATTCGCATTTCATTAAGAGCTGTCAAGGTTTTCTTTGTTAATTCTTCTTCTCTTTCTTTAACCATAGATGATAAAATATTTTCATCCTGTAATATTATATATTATATTATATAAATATAACAATCATCATTCAATCAAAAATTCATGTATTTCAAAAATTATTATATATACAAATGATTAAGATTGGACCTTCAGTGTAACCAGCAGCTGCCAGGCAGGATACGCCCACATTTTGCAAGAGATGGATAGAGAACAAGCTAAAAACAAAATGAGATTTTTTGTACAATCTGGGGCAATAATCCAGAAAGTTATGGTCTGAAATGCGCAAATATCAAAAGGGACTGAGATCTTTGGGATATAAAGATATATTTTAAGTTTCATCTAAATTGGATAAAAATTGTGACCTCTAGAGCTCCAAAAGCTTCGTATTACATACTTTTACACAATTTGCGTACAAGGAGCGGCCATTTTGTCGGGCAGTTACAATCTAATTTTTATGAAATTCAAACTCAACCATCCTTATGATATATTGAAACGGTTTTTAAAATCATATAAAAATTATGACCTCTAGAGGATCCAATAGCTAAAAACGCGACTTTTCGTACAATTATAGGGGCCATAATCCAGGAAGTTAAGATCTGATATGCGCAAATAGGGACATAAAGATATGTTTCAAGTTCCATCAAAATCAGATCAAAATCATGGCCTCTTGGGGGTCCACAACCTTGATATACCATATTTTTATACTATTTGCGAACGAGTGGCGGCCATTTTGTCCAGCAGTTTCGGTCCGATTTTCACCAAATCTGAAGTCAACCATCAGTAGGGTGTCAAGGTGATATATTGAATCATTTTTTTAAAATCGGATAAAAATTGTGACCTCTAGATGAACAACAAGCTAAAAACGTGACTTTTCGTACAATCAGGAAGTTACGGTTCGATATGCACGAATATCGAAAGGAACCAAGATCTTTGGGTTATAAACTTGTATTTCAAGTTTCATTGAAATCGGATCAAAATTGTGATCTCTGGAGGGTCCACAACATTTTGACACTATTTGCGAAAGAGCGGCAGCCATTTTGTCCAGCAGTTTCAGTCTGATTTTCACGAAATTCGAACTCAACCATCCTTAGGATGTAACGGTGATAAATTTGATATAAAAATTATCAAGACCATACGTACATACTCTCAGAGTACAATATCAGGGCTAGATACCACGCAAATCTCCAAATCTAATTTGCGCAAGGATTCTCGCAAGAGCTTACGCTGCGAATCTATAAGGATTCGCGTAAAATGTTTCTTAAAAAAAAAAAAATCTCGGAGAATTGTCGAGTCCAACTGTTGAATGTCAGTCAGGGTCAGTGTTCTTAATCGGCTGTATTTTGTGGGATTTAGGCGATTGATGTTTAATCTAGCCGATTGGTACAACAATGAATCGGCCACATGGTATCATAAATCAATCTACTTGTGGCTAATATTACAACGCGTTAATTATTACTTGTTAATTAAGAAGTGTCTGTTACAACTACAGTCATACTTTAGTGAGAATCGGCCATATGTGGTTCATAATCCGAGTAATTAGCACATTTAACGGTGATTTTGATAATCCGGTAAAAAAAAAACAAAACAAGCTTGCTGATAATTCATAATATTTTCAGTAAAATACGCCACGTGGTGAATGAAGACGATCTTGGCATGGTTTGTGAATCGCGCATCTTCCACGCTCCGTCCGTGTGAATTCCAGGTACCGATAGATATTAAAATAATAACTGGATCATACATTGATGGATTCACTGACCAGTTGTTAGGTAAATTTAAATCATCATTGAATATAATCCCCTGATAGAACACCGAATACACAGAGAGAGAAACAGTGGATATTTTCCCAACCGAATTTTGAATGCCGAATTCTAGTGATGCGTGATATCGGTTGGAATTAGGTCAATAAACCAGTTCTAAATAGCGTTTACCGTTATGATTTTTTATTTTATACACATGCTGACAGAGACTTAATTTTAAAAATATTATTGAAGGCTATATCATAGTCGTACATAATTTTATTTTATAGCAACTTTAGTTATGGTTGTCACATGATCAATTGTGCCGTTTGTCTATCATCGACGAATGAATTAAAACTTTTGCAAGTTACATGACTAGTTATAAACGTGATGGACAAAAGACTACAAATTGTGCTATGAAGAAATGCCATGGTGCTGTATCAGCTTATTTTGACTACGGCATTTTCTGGATATTACTTTTGACACAATTTAAGTGTTTACCAAAAACTCCATCTGGTTGTTTTATTTTTATCATTGTTGTTGTATTTTGGTGTTTTAGATTAACACAAAAAACACAATTTTGTTTTTTTAGACAGTATTATTAATTAAGATTCGCAGGATTCGCGCAGATTCCATATGAGAATCCTCTTAGATTCTTGCAAAAAATGATGACTTTCTAGCCCTGAATATATATATTTACACACCTTGTACAAGTCATGTTATGAAACGTATCAACCTGTTGTGACATCATCAGTGGGTGATATCTGATATGGACCCTAGGGACGATGTCAGATATCACCCTCTGATGACGCCACAACAGGTTTACAGACTCTGCAAAGAAAAAGGACACAAATTCTTTCTGTTAACATTTTATTCACTTATTGTACAATGTTGTCAAACGAATCGGACGACGAGCTTTGTCAGGCCCTTGTTACTTAGTTTCTTCATCTGACCATCAAGAACTTGTCTGAAACTCAAATTCTGGATTGTGCAGTATATCCACATCAGTTTTATTTGTAATCCGTAAATGTGAAACTATTCCCATAACTAAATACGGAATTCGGTGGGTAATATTTATCATTTTATTTTGCTTACTTCCAAGACGAATCTAGATATCCACAAAATAAGATCTTATATACTCATATCTTCCAGCGGACACAAGATTTTTAGCTCACTATCGTGTTTATTATTCCGCCACACTGACCAACCGTTAAAAAAGTCCACAGCCCACCGAATTTTGCATAGGCATTGTTGGCACATTCACTGACATCTTGTCACTCGAAATTGAAAAGCATGTATCATTTGTATCTTCCTCACAATCCGAAATATCCGAGTACATTAAATCCTTGTTAAATATTTTCTGCATAAATTCTGCAGTTTGACTAGCTTTAAATAATTCTTGTCAGATTCTAAGTTTTCTTTTTCATCCATATTTTCTACAAACTGACTTGTGCCCATCAGTCCGAATCGTTTGACAGCATTGCACAAAATGAATGCCAGTTTGTGAACACGTGGTTACTAAAATGTAATGCATGTGCATGTGATAGGTGAAATCAATTTGGATAGATTTAACATTGATGTCGGTGTGATAGACAACATTACCCTAATACCCTCGGTTAGGGTAATATTTATTTCATGTATATATATATTTAGTAGGAAATGGGTTAATTATAAGCTTCCATTCCCTTTATCAGCAAAAATAATTCTTGGAAATTTGTTGTGGAGAATGTTGTATTTTAATGTATGTTATTACCACAAAAATAAAGTCAGGTACGCTTTTTGAAATTTTCCATATTTAATTCACATACCAGCTTACTGTCTACGTTTATACCATGAAACGTTCGCGTTTCATAAGTCAATGATATAAAATAATATTAGCATTTTTCTAGTATTGCCAGTATCAGAAAATGCTGTAGCCAAAATAAGCTGATACGGCACCAAGGCATTTCTTCATAACACAATTTGTAGTTTTTTGTCCATCACGTAACTTGCAAAAACTTTCATTCATTTATCGATGATAGACAAACGACACAATTGTCACGTGACGACCATAATTGAAATTGCTTTAAAATAAAAATTCTGTATGATTAGGATTTCGCCTTCAATAAAATCAACAATATTTTCAAAATTAAGTCTTTGTCAGAATGTGTATAAAATAAAAAAAAATCATAAAGGTAAACGCTATTTAAAACTGGGTTATTTTTACCGGATTATCAAAATTACCGTTAAATGTGCTAAATGGCTTGTAAGGGTCAAAATACTTAAATTTGTATTTAATAATATTTACATGACAGTGTCCCTTTAAGTGAGCAGTGCGCCCGATAGATTGCGGTCATTGGTCATGTGATCATTTTTTCCCGGAAATGAAAGAAAACGTAGTGCACTGAAACTTACATGTATACTTCTGATGCTTTTTGTTATGTCAAATTAGGGGAGAAAGAAGGGATACATGGACCTATATGTAAAAGTACAGATAAATAATTAATGTAACATGTATCGTAAGTTTGTTGTCATTGCATAAAATTTTAATTATTGTCTTGAAAAGATTCACATCGACAGCGGTCAGTCTCAACAGTCGTAGCCTTGATTATCTTACATAGCATGTCTAAAGGCATTCCCTGTCCAAATTTTCAATTAGTAGCCCCGATTGTCACACAAGCAAATTTAATAGTATTATCGCATAATTTTTATTTTTACATGTATTTCTTTGTCGACTAGTTTATTTGTATACATATTTATTATTGTTGTTATTGTCTTTTCAGGCAATCAGTTCAGATTTAGTAGACTTTCCTCAATAAAGTATAGAAAGAAAAGAAAGTTTTTAATTAACCAGTTAACTGCGTAGGAAATGAAATGAAATGAAATGGAGTTTAACGTCCTACTGTTCTGCTCCTAACCTGGGCTAATGAAGACGGGCATACGCCAAACAGTGTGCTATGAGGGAAATTTTGCCCGGACAGCGGCACTACGGCCTACTCTTATATCGAATTCCAACTGCCAAGGGATCTTTTACGTGCACGCCAATGTGTACACGGGACCTCGGTTTTTCGTCCAATCCGAACGACTATAACTGCGTAGGCCCTGGACAACTGCCACTCACCGTGTGTAGGACGTAATATAACGCCCTGGAGGTATTTTCCCCAACCTATTCTCCAAACACAATCGCAGCATGTGTAGGACGTTATATTACGTCTGGTCGAGGAAATCTAATTGAAGGGAGACAACTCTATTTACCGTTAGTTTTAATATGGTATTAGACCACTAAAATTTGTATTCAGGAAGAAATAGGCCAAAAAATGACGTTTTTCGTCAAATTAATTACGCAATAGGGGGTAGTTAACGTTTTAAAAACTACACAGTTAAGGGGTTAATGAGTAAAAGACTAAGTGAGGTCTGAATTGCATAAGCTAAAACACATAGGCTAGCCAGTTTACCCCTGCGGATAGAAAGAAAGGCCCTGTAGACCAGCCCTGACAAAGCTGTAACCTACAAGGCTACTCGGATTATAAACCATATGGCCGATTCTCATTAAGGTATGACTGCTGTTGTAGCTGACAAGCAAGAAGTTTTTCAACGATATGGCTATATTACTTATCTATATAAATATTGCCATAACGTATCGATACATATTGGTGTATCGATATATCGTCATAGCCCTAGTTACTAAATGCTAGTTTGATAATGCTGCACAAATTCTCTTTGAAACATATAAATTAGTAGTTTATTAAGAGTTTTATTGTACTAAAACATTGATAAGAAGATGAACTATAGATGCACTAGTAAAATGTCAATGCTTGTCTACATATAGTAAATGTAAAATGACTTACTACGCCTGTTCTTTGTGATGAAGCAGTTTTATTAGCAGCAGGAATCCGTGTTAGTGATTTTGTTCTCTGAAGTGAGGTATTACTGGCTGGTCGTCCTGTAGCACCGCCAGATTTGTTTGACGGCGGTGATTCTGAATTACTTCGTTGGTGAACAGACTGTGGTCTTGACCTTGATCCACCTGTTAAAATTCGTTTGCTGAAAGATTCTGTCTGATCGTCACTGTCATCATCATCTTCGCGTTGTTCAGCTGTAACAGGTAGATTGTCTGGCATACTAGTTAAAGGCTGAAATAATAACAACATGGGATTAGTAATAATAATGATGTCCTTGGCCCCCTTTGTTGAGCCAAACTTACTTTGTTTACCGATAACTTTTGATGATCTACATACACAAAATAATCCTACAATGTGCTGTTTCACTTTAAAACTTAATTGCTATTTTTAACAAACCTTTGGTATGCGTGGTGGTCTACCTTGACTAGTAAATATACGTCCTTCTTTTTCATCTACTTCACATTGTTCTATCTGATCTGTTATATCTTCTTCCTGTCACATATAAATCATATTATTACATTCTTGACTAATGTGAGGAAATAAGAGAACTTTTAGCTAATATACATGTATTGTATTTATCCTGGATTAAAAATATCTTAAAATTCAAATCGTATGGTTAATCCAGGATAAATACGATTTGAATTTTAAGATATTTTTTTCGCCAGTTCTCAAAAAGAATCGTTAATTGCGACTTTGGCAACCGGAAGTGTGAGCCCTGAACCAGGCATACAGTAAGAGGGGAAATTATCTATTGGACTGCCACCATTTCAGGTTTCAGTACATGTGCTTGTTTCAGTATCATTTGTACAGAGAGAGGAATATTTAATTATTACTATATTTAATCTTACTTGTAATCTGTTATTATATGTTTGCAGAATTTCTTTCTGCATGGCTGCACCACGACCAGACAAAATAACAGAGAATGCCGTCATCAATAAATTGCAATATTTCTCTTGACGTATTTTATCATCACTGGGAAATATTCTACGAAAGCGACCAAGGTTTCTGTTCTCATAATCTTCTCTTGCTGTTGCCTTTCTTACTCTATTCAGCTGTTCTTTCTACAATATGTACATAAAATACACCATGAGCTAAGAGTTTTAACTCTCATTTCATACACTATTATTATTTATCAAACAGCTTTAATCTCCCAAAAATTCAAACATTTTTATTAGTCCAATGGTTTTGTTACACAGTGTTAGTTGAAAGGATAGAGTGTCAGCAATTGTTTTAAAAGGGATACATTAAATGTATATGGTATTTATTAAATAAGTGTCATGAAAAGATAAGGAATAGTTCTGCAGTGGAAATAAAAGTGGACAGATGGATGAATGGACACACAGATAAACAAATGTACATGTGTGTAAAATGTTTTCCAAAATATTGAATAGTTTCTGAGATCAGCTAAGGAAAAGAAGCCCACCCCAAGACTGAGACTACAGTATCCATAGAAACAAAAACAATAAAAATGTTTAATATTTCTTAGTAGCAAAAGGCACCACTTCAGTACTCAGTAGTTGTGTATAGTTTTTAGATCTGTTCAGGAAACAATGCCCACCCCAGATTTTAAAGTCAAATTGTAGGCATGAAAACACAAAAAAAGGTCAATAAAGTAATTAAAAGTAACCAATGAAAGTAATAAAATGAGCATCACAAATAAATATATGTAATTTTATTTACATACACAAATAGTAAGACTATTTTCAATCATCCATGCCCATATGATTTGTACTGTACTTCAATTAGACAGTAGGCCTAAGGTGTAAATGACCTCTTGAAACACATCACTACTTTTGAGACTGTATTGATGTCTTTTTTTATACTATAACTGATTTACAGATTGTTGCAAAACACAGTAATTTAATACTGAATATTTTATTGGTAATTGTCCACGTTATTTTCCTGAATGAAAATTAACAGTAATGCACTATAAAGAAATATAAATGTACTTACCAATTCTTCTTTTCGCTTGGCAATATTATGACGTCTTTTTTCAAGTTCTGTCATGTCTGCAGTATCACCCTTTTTAGTTGTTCGAAATAATCGTTTCTGTGCCTCTGCTTTCATATTGGCTAAATTTCTTCTCTTATCACTGACTCTAACAGAAAATAAAAATTTAGGTTGGGCTTTAACAAAAGTAATTTTCAATATCAATCGACTGTGTGCTTACAAGAAATCTCAATATTGGTACATTAATGGAAATGATTTTAGATAATTTGAGAGGTCAGAAAGTTTGTAAATTTACAATTTTGGTTTGTTATGTGAACTTCTGAATTGAGAAATGGTATCAGGTGTGTCTAGAAATGCATATACCATGAGTATCTTTCCAAAATACCATGCAATTTGGGGGAGGGGTAAAAACAGGGAGTTATTTTGTAATAACCAAGATGGAATGATAAAATTAAATATCAATGATATTACAACAATGTTTCATTTGTTCTTTTTTCACTAATTTTCTCAAATTAGTCAGATGGGTGTCAAATATTTGAAAATGTGTTTCAAAAAAAGGATGGTTTGGACAGCATTTATCATGTCTGGGAAATAACAACTTACTTTATATTAAGAAGATGGAGTGTATCTTCTATTAAAGATGATTTAATATCATAATCTATCTTCTCATCTGTTCCAAAGCTAGGTGAACGATTGATCTGAAAATATTATAACTTTAACAACGACTATTTCTCCAAATATTATGCAAAAAAGGATGGTTATTCCATAATCAAGATTTTTGTTGTTATGGAAAAACTAAGTATGTGTAATAATTATATTTCAAATGTAATTTAATTAATTTTTTATTAGAAAAATATGATAAATCTTACCTCAATAAGCCATGGACGACATTTTCTATCAATCATAAAATCAAATCCAAGAACTTCAAAACAAACACTATCACTAGCAGGTGATTGTCCAGGTCGACACATTCTATATGCATGTAAAATATGTGGTTCAGCTACTAACATTGTTTTAACTATCATCTCTGATATATTCTTCCATAGTAATGTGACATCATAGTCGTTTTTACGTAAATGATCATTGAGGTATTTTATGGATCGTTTACTGCCAGTATCTACACCCATACTCTTCTCATAAGAATCACTATGTTTATTGACTGAATAATTAGTTAAATGCATGAACAAGCGACCCTGTAAGAAAAACAATAGAACAACAATGTTATCTTTTTTTGTACTATATAATTTTCGGTATAATAAACAATGCAATTTTATAAATATTAAACAGAATATAAAAAGCATATTATCTATGTATTGCGATACGGATTCTCCATAATATGTATCACAATAATAGGAAATTCAGTTTATCAACATTTCATTCTATTTATATCCAATTCCTCTAATTCTATCATGGATTTCATTAAAATGCAAGTAAACAACCAGCTCAACAAGAGTTTGTCTAAATTAACTTTAGACAAACCTTTACAGAGAGTAACTACAGCATGATTTTTGTGTTCCTCATGATAAATTTCACAGGATCTGTTGGAGGATTAGAAATACCATAATCTCAAGAATGCAGAAATACAATGAAGTAAAATTTTGTAAACAATATAATATGAACCGATCTCATGATGGATTAGTTAAATCTTGTGAAATTAAAAATACAAAATTCACCATAGATTGCAAAATCATACATTCTACCCCTTCAAAATAAACCTGAAAGGTCTGGGGAAACACCAAATAAGAAAAATACATACCACATTGCCATCAGAGGGTGGAACATATTTCTCTGTACAAAGTCTCACTAAACCATCATTTAATAAAAATATACGTAATGGATCGCAAGATGTCACTAATACATACACACGAAGATCAAACTTATAACCATCTAATAATAGTGGTTTATCAATATATTCCTGTACGATAAAATGTTCAGTCTGGGGAATTTTTTCAGCATTTTTATACAAGGCGATTCTGAAATATAAATTACAACAGATTTCATATAAAATGTTTATATGGCCAACTGCAGCTTTTTGAAGGGAGGGTCACAAATTTTCAGAGTAAGGGGCAATAAATTTGTATACAATTGATGGACGTGTCTAAATATTGATGGGCCCCTCCCTAAGGTTAGCACAAGCATGAACATACTATATGAACCAGATACCGAGCACAGCATCATCACAGCCATCATGGAATTGTGATGTCATATAAATATTTGAAGTTTCATATTGAATGCACTGAAATCGGCGGAGGTGTAGAGGGTTTTTTTAACAAGAAGATTATGAAATGTATACAAACAGTTCCTGGTTCAATATAAGACCAGTAGAGTATTTGAAATGGATTGGTGGCAGGACACTGCTAAGTATCTCTACATCATTCAAAATCAAAAGTGAACAACTGGCCGACTTGTAGCTTTTGGCAGAAAATAAACAGTCTGAATCATATTACCCATGACCTTGAGCACCATTAGACGGTTTGGCAATAAAAGTGCGTTGCTTTTTCTTGGCTTTTAAATCTCGAGCATATCCAAGTAGAAGACTATGATCAGTAGGCAAGATCCAGGTTTTTGGAATAAAATTATAATCATCAGGAAAAGCTTTTTGTAACCTATAAATAAATATAAAGCATTTAAAAAATAAAGTAATCTTTCTAATACTGGCAGTTAAAAATTTCATCTATGTAGTGGGAAGCTCATAATCTAAAGCCTGTAATTTCAAAACAAATCTAGAAATCTGTGCTCGGACGATAATATTGTCAGAACAATTTTAAAGAACAAAAAAGCCCAAGTCAAACTATTGTGTAAAATAATTTATGCAAATGTTATGTTACTGTAATAATTGTCTCTTCAAATGTTCATCATAAAATTAATCTTACCTTAAAAGGTTTCTGGCTAAAGCATCCTTTCTTGTGATTTCACCCATCCCAGGAAAATGGTTCATACGTTGATATGATTTTAACTCAGATATACGATCCATAGAAACAAAACTATCATTCCAGATGAGGTAGCTTTAAAATATTTACAAATAAAAACAGTAATTTAATACTATAATTGTAACTTTCTACAGTTTTAATTATTCATTGTCATTTTCTGGGAAGTATCTTGAATGAAATAAGTTATATATGAAGTAGTGATGTTCCGATTATCGGTTTCACAGTTGTTAATTAGCTGATAAGTGGCCTATCGATAGAAATTAGTATCGGCCCTTACACAGCCATTTTGCTGACAAGTCACCAAATCTGTTTAAATATCTTTAAAATGTTATTCAAGTTGTGAACAAATGATATTTAGTTGATACTTGATGAATGCCATCGTATTAGCTAGAGCTTGAGTATCTTATTTAATCCCTAATCTCTAATGGGATTTCCTCCTATATTGACCCAGGGAAACCAATATTCACCAAAATAAGACAATGCGCATGATAATGGAATCAGCTACCTCAAAAATATTTTGTAAAATTCTAGTGTCAATACTAACCACCATTTTGAATTATTCCCTAATATTGACTCAGCTCTATCACTTATGGAAATCGAGACAGCTACCCCAAAAAGATATATTTTGAAACAAAACTCGATCATATAATGATAATTGGAAAAAAAATGGCATTTTCCAGCCAAAACTGGATTCTGGCCAATTTAACTCATTTGGATACAGATTTTGGACTCAGACTTTTTTTGGTGATAATATACGTCTAAACTGAACATAAACCGTGGTTGCCATTTCTATTGCAGCAACTGCTCGGAATGATGTGGAATTGAGTTAAAATGCCTGGATTATGAATAAAGAAATGTGCACATTCTATAATGGACAATTACAAAATGATGTAGTGCCATGGAGTTCATTTTAGCTACCTCATTTTCAGATTTTTGGTGCCTCGAAAAAACCTAATTTCAAGGACTGCCATACTTTACTAATTAATCATGCAACAAATATAAGTTCTCAGTAGATGGTGTGTATTTTTAATGTTGTAGGAAGCGTGACCCAATTATTCCTTCAATAAACATTGTGTTCGTGTTTAAATTCTAAGATAAAATAGTACCCTGCGTTTCAAGCATGTTTAGACAGCTTTTTCTCAAAAAGTCAATCTAATATTTTTTAAAAACTTCTTCTATAGAGAGTCCAATTGGTATTCTTGTGTATGGAACCATTGTTCGAAATATCAAGAGTTGAAAAAAAAAGGCACTGAACATCGACACAAGTCAGAAATGGTCAAAATCGGTACATAATGCCTACGGATAGAGAATGTATATAGAGCTTTTTTTTTTTCAAAGTGGCAATATTTGAACTATGAGTGATTTACTGGTAACCAAAATATGGGATTGGTGCTTCTAGAGTGAAAATAAGTCATTTTAGTAAATAACAGTTTGTCCCTGAATTAATGTGACAGGTCTTTTGTCTACCTGAAATCACTTAATAACAGTGAAAATAAAGTGCTCCGCTGAAACTACTTAAAAGTAAATGGTATAGAACCAGCAAGAGGTGGATAGAGAACAAGCTAAAAATAAAAGCGATTTTTTGTACAATCAGTGGCTATAATCCAGGAAGTTACCTTCCGATATGCGTGATTATCAAGAGGAACCAAGATCTTTGTGATATAAACATACATTTCAAGTTCTATCAAAATCTAATAAGATTGTGACTTCTAGAGGGCCCACAACCTTGGTATTACATACTTTTAGACTATTTGCGTACAAGGAGCGGCCATTTTGTTTGTCAGTTTTTGTCAGATTTTGACGAAATTTGAACTCAACCTTCACTGAGGTGTAACGCAGTGATCTATTTAAATTGTTTATAAAACTGAATACAAATTGTGACTTCTAGAAACATTGTTTTTTCGAACAATTAGGGGCCATAATCCAGGAAGTTACGTTCCAATAATCGTGATTATAGATGATCCAAGATCTTTGTGATATAAACATACATTTCACGTTTTATCAAAATCGAATAAAAATTCTAGAGGGTCAACAACCTCAAGGTATTATATACTTTTAGACTATTTACGTACAAGGAGCGGCCATTTTGTCCGGCAGTTTCGGTTGGATTTGTATGAAATTCAAACTCAACCTTCATTGAAGAGTAACGGTGATATATTTAAACAGTTTTTAAATATGAATCTAAAATCTAGGGTCCACAAGCTAAAAACACGATTTTTCGAACAATCAGGGGCCATAATCCAGGAAGTTACGTTCAAATATAGAAGGGTACAGAGATCTTTGTGATATATACATAAATTTAAAATTTCATCAAAATCGGATCAAAACTGTGACTTCTGGAGGGTTCACAACCTTGATATGACATACTTTTACACTATTTGCGTTCGATGAGTGGCTATTTTGTCTGTCAGTTTCGGTCCAATTTTCACGAAATTATTATGGTGTAACGGTGATATAGTTACATTTTTTTGTAAATCAGATAAAAATTGTGGCTTCTAGAGGGACCACAATCTAAAAACGTGATTTTTCGTACATTCAGGGGCCAAAAATCAGGAAGTTACGAGTCGATATGCACGAAAATAGAAAGGAACCAAGATATTTGGGTTATAAACATGCATTTCAAATTTCATCAAAATCCAATGAAAAATGAGACCTCCAGAGGATCCACAACCCTGATACACAATATTTTGACACTATTTGCGAACGAGGGGCGGCTATTTTGTCCATTAGTTTCGGTCTGATTTTTACGAAATTCAAATTGTACCCATTGTTAGTGTGTAACGGTGATATATTCAAACGGTTTTGTAAATCGGATAAAATTTGGGACCTCTCTGGGGTCCACAACGTACAATCAGGGGCCATAATTCAGGAAGTTACAAATCGATATGCACGAAAATAAAAGGAACCAAGATATTTGGGTTATAAACATGCATTTAAAATTTCATCAAAATCCGATGAAAAATGTGACCTCCAGAGGATACCCAACCCTGATACACAATATTTTGACACTATTTGCGAACGAGGGGCAACCTTTTTGTCCATCAGTTTCGGACCGGTTTTTAAGAAATTCGAAGTTAACCATCATTAGAGTGTAACGGTGATTTATCCAAACGGTTTTGTAAATCGGATAAAAATTGTGACCTCTATGGGGTCCACAAGCTAAAAACGTGATTTTTCGTACAATCAGGGGTCATAATTCAGGAAGTTATGGTCCGATATGCGCGAATATCGTTAGGAACTGAGATCTGTGGGTTATAAACATGCATTTCAAGTTTCATCAAAATCAGATGAAAATTGTGACCTCCAGAGGGTCCACAACCCTGATACACAATATTTAGGTTGTAATGGTGATATATTGTAACGGTTTTTTAAATCGGATAAAAATTGTGACCTCTACGGGGTCCACAAGCTTAAAAACAAGATTTTTCGTACAATCAGGGGCCATAATTCAGGATGTTGTGGTCCGATATGTGCGAATATCGAAAGGAACCGAGAACTGTGGGTTATAAACAAACATGTCAAGTTTAAACCAAATCGGGGCGGCCATTTTGTCCGTCAGTTTCGGTCCGAAAATGTGGGAGTATAAAAATGTATAAACTAGACTATGTTTTTTTATCGTATCGACTTTAGTAATGATGATAGAGGCTAGGCCTAAAATTCAAACGCTAAATTCTCGATTCAGAGTGGATCAATTTGACTGAAATTTTCAGCAAATTCCCTTTACATTATCTAGTTTTTAACTATTATAGTGAGAACTGCCAGCTCTTTATCTAATCTCCCATAATGTATCTTTAACATTTTATCCTCCAATTAATGTGACAGATATTTTGTCTACATGATGTCATCACTTAATACCAGTGAAAATAAAGTGTTCGGCTGAGACTACTTAAAAGTAAAATGCCTTGTTAAGAACGCTATAGGCTTTGGTAGCGTTAGTAAATTTGAAATGGTTTTAGCCTCTTTTGCAAAACTGTAAGAGATAGAGTTCTGAATATTGATTTCTTTTCCCATTAAAGCTGTTAAATGATAGTACTTATAAGTTGTGAGCAGACCGGAAGTGATGTAAATCTTTAACACGCACGAAAATTGAAAATCGACCATAATTCTGGGTTTATAGTATACAAGAAGCTCAGAGAGATAGGGCGGGACCAAAGTATTCAGGCATTTAAACACAACAAACAATATTTGTATTCTATTCTGTATGGTATTGGTAGCCAGTGTAGAGGGTGATATTCAACAAACGTTTTGTTCCAGAAATTAATCGTGTTACCAAGTTTTGAAGTTTATCTATGAGTTTAGATGGAAAGCCTGTTAGTAGAGAGTTACATTTATCGAGCTTTGAAGTTATAAATGAATTGACTAAAGATCTAGTTGCATCTGTAGTGATGAACTTTCTAATATTGCATATATGATAATAGCAACTTCATAAAAGTTATTGGTATAGGCTTCCATATTCATGTTAGAATGAAATATTGCGCCAATATTGTGTGCTGATATTGATGGGGATATTAGATATACTGGAATGTTAAGACAGACATCCTATTACAATGGTTTGTCTTTATCGTATTTAGAGATTGATTGCCCTTTATGTTAGAATGTATTATATTTTATCTAATAAAAATAAATCTTACGCTCCAAGGTCATCATCTTTAGTTACAGAAAACCCCACTTTTTCCACCATCTGACGAACTGTAAAAGACATCATAACATATAGTTGGACAAGGCTTTAGAATCTTTGCACTATGGAACAAAATGTGTTCATGATTCACAATTTATATGTTTTGCTTCAACGATATATCAGATCACAATTGTTCAATAATTTCAGTTTACTGGTATATTCTTCATGGGAGCAAACAATACATGTACTTAGCTATTGTAATTGGCTATCACCCAGTCACTCTGATAGTTACAAATTTAGGGTTCTGGTTCTAATTTTTTTACAACCAGCAGCTTCCAGGCAGGATACGCCCATATTTCCAAGAGATGGATAGAAAACAAGCTAAAAACAAATGTGATGTTTTGTACAATCATAGGCAATAATCCAGAAAGTTATGGTCGGAAATACATAAATATCAAAAGGGACTGAGATCTTTGGAATAAAAAAATATGTTTTAAATTTCATCAAAATCGGATAAAAATTGTGACCTCTACAGGGTCCACAACCATCCTATACATACTTTTACACAATTTGCGCACAAAAAGCGGCCATTTTATCGGGCAGTTTTATTTCCTTTTTACCGAAATTCGAATTCAATCTCCAGAGAATCCGCAAAATAAAAATGTGATTTTTCGAATAATCAGGGGCCATAATCCAGGAAGTTACATTCGGATATCAAAAGGAACCAAGATCTTAGCGTGTAACAGTGGTATATTCAGATAAAAATTGTGACCACAAGCTAAAAACATGATTTTTTGTACAATGAAGGGCCATAATTCAGGAAGATACGATCCGATATGCGCGAATATCGACAGGAGCCAAGATCTTTGGGTTATAAACATGCATTTCAAGTTTCATCAAAATCAGATCAAAATTGTGACCGTTAGAGGGTCCACAACCTTGATATACCAGATGTTTACACTATTTCCGTACGAGGAGCGGTCCAATTTTCACGAAATTCGAACTCAACCAAAATTACGGTGTAACGGTGATATATTCGAACGTTTTATAAAATCGGATAAATCTAGAGGGATCACAAGCTAAAAACGTGACTTTTTTCGTAAAATCAGGGGCCATAATTAAGGAAATTACAATCCGATATGCAAGAATATCAAAAGGATCCAAGATCATTGGGATATAAACATGCATTTTAAGTTTCATGAAAAACGGATCAAAATTGTGAACTCTAGAGGGTTCACAACCTTATATACCAGAAGTTTACACTATTTGCGTACAAGGGGCGGCCATTTTGTCCAGCAGTTTTGGTCCGATTGTCACGAAATTCGAACTCAACCAAAAGTATAGTGTAAAGGTGATATATTCAAACAGTTTTTGAAATTGGATCATAATTGTAAACCCTTGAGGGACAACAAGCTAAAAACGTGATTTTTCGTACAATCAGGGTCCATAATTCAGGCAGTTATGATCCGATATGCGCGAATATCGAAAGGAACCAAGATCTTTGGGTTATAAACATACATGTCAAGTTTAAACCAAATCGGGGCGGCCATGTCAAGTTTCATCAAAATCGGGTGAAAATTATGACCTCTAGAGTGTCAACAAGCTAAAAATGTGATTTTTGTACTATCTGGGGCCATAATCCATGAAGTTATGGTCCGATACATGCCAATATCGAAAGGAACTGAGATCTTTGAGAGATAGACATATATTTTAAGTTTCGTCAAAATCGGATAAAAATTGTGACCTGTAGAATGTCCACAAACAAATTGTGAACAGACGTCCGAACAGACAGGGGCAACCACATAATACATCCACATGAAAAAGTGGGCTTAAAAAAACAAATTTCTGACACTCTTTAACTGATTACATAACATTTCCATCTTCATGGAACTAGGGATTTCAAATAACCGTCTATCCAAGGACTAACCAACTACTGTTGCTAGCTTTGCTCCCCTCCCCCCAAACTCCCAACACACACAATGAGACTAATGAGAGGAACAATATTTTATAATGCTTTATAAATACTTACCCACATCATATCTGGTACCACTTAAATTAGCTGTAATAAGGTGCTTTTTCTTTTTCTTTTTCTGTCCAGCACTGCGATCAGTTTTTCCTATAACTCGGTCTTGTCGATCATTGACGTACTCCTCTGAAACCAGTACATCTCTGTTGACATTCCTTTCAGGAACTTTAGATTGCCACTGTCCAGATAATAAATTATTTCTTGTGTAGTGACTCTGTGCTGAATAATCTAAATAAAACATACAATAAATTATCAAGTTCTTATTTTTGAAAAACAAAAATAATAAAATTTTCAAACTAGCGGCTGCCAGGCAGGATATGCCAACATTTTGCAAGACATGGATAGAGAACAAGCTAAAAACGAAAAGGATTTTTTGTACAATCAGGGGCCATAATCCAGAAAGTTATGGTCTGAAATGCGCAAATATCAAAAAGGACTGAGATTTTGGGAATATAAAGATATGTTTTAAGTTTCATCAAAATCGGATTAAAATTGTGACCTCTAGAGGGTCCATAACCTTTGTAATACATACTTATACACAATTTGCGTACAAAAAGCGGCCATTTTGTCGGGCAGTTTCATGTTTATTTTCCCGAAATTCCAATTCAACCTTCATTATGGTGGAATGGTGATATATCTAAACATTTTTTAAAATTGTGACCTCTAGAGAATCCACAAGCTAAAAATGCGATTTTTCAACCAATCTGGAGCCATAATACTGAAAGTTAGGTTCGGATATATGTGATTATCAAAAGGAACCAAGATCTTTATGATAAAAACATATATATTTAAACCTTGATATACCATATTTTTACACTATTTGCATTCATCAAAATTGTGACCTCTAGAGTGTCCACATGATAAAAACGTGATTTTTCGTACAATCAGGGGCCATAATCCATGAAGTTATGGTCTGATACATGCTAATATCGAAAGGAACCGAGATCTTCGGGAGATATACCTATATTTCAGGTTTTTCGTCAAAATTGGATAAAAATTGTGACCTGTAGAGTGTCCACAAACAAATTGTAGACAAACAGACGTCCGGACTGGGGTGACGACAATATACGGCCACATGAAATTGTGAGCGTATAACAAAATTCAAGTAAATAATAACACACAATGTTTGTTTTCTGATAGGCTATTAATAATATACTGAGCGCCAAGGAAAACGCATCACTTAGTTTTTCGTATAACAAAATGATCCTGTAAACATATCTTATTTATTTTGCTTCTTATTATGAACAATATTCAAATGGGAACACATCAATAACAACACATTTGTACACTTATGGATGTTTAATCTGTAATCAACGGTACAAAGTAAGAGGGGTCAAAACCAAAAGTACGACACAGATGTCAGTAGTGCGTGTGTCCTCCACAGGTTCTTACGCACGCTGTGCAGTGACGTCGCATGGAATTTACCAATGTTTGAAAGAAGGCCTGGGGCAAATTGTTCCATTCTTGGACAAAAGCAGCTTCTAAAGCAGCAATGGTGTGCATCTGTGGTCTCCGATACAGACGGTGTCCAATCTCATCCCAGACATGTTCTATCGGTGCCATGTTCGGAGACATGGCTGGCCAGTCCAAGACATTGATGTTGTTAGCAGCCAGGTAGTCCATACTAAAACAGGCGGTATGCGGACGTGCATTATCCTGTTGGAAGAGCTGAAGTTGTGGGTGCGCTCGAAACATCGGAACAACAATTGGTTGCAAGACATCATCACGGTAGGCTACAGCATTAACGCGACCCCTGCAAATGTGTAGGGCGGTCCTGTGATGAAATGTGAAGCCTACCACACCATTACACTTCACCCACCCCATCGATTCGTTTTGAAGACGCAGCAGTCTGCAAGACGATCCCCAAGACGTCTCCACACACGTTGACGGCCATCAGCGTGATAAAAATGAAAGCGACTCTTGAGCCCATATCAAACGCCGCTGACGGTGATGATCCCTGAGGATAGCTCCAGAGTCCTACTTCTCTTAGACCGTAGACGACGTCTTACGGTGTTGGCACTTACTGGTCCTTGTCTTCCGACAAGTGCTGCACCTGTTCGAGTCGCTGGGCGGAATCTGTCACGCAGATGAGTGACCCGGATGTAGCGGTCTTGAGCCTGGGTTGTAACGCGTTGTGGACCAGGACGTTGACAGTCACGTGTTGATCCAGTAACTCGAACACGTCCCAACAACCTTACAATAGTGGACTCATGACAATTGAAGTGTCTGGCAATAGCACGTATAGACATGCCAGCCCTGGACATTCCCATGGCTTCATTCCGTTGATTTTCAGTAAGTCTCGGCATCTCTAGCTCGATTCCTTCACACGTCCAACAACATATTACGACAGATTGACGTTTCACAGTTCATGTACTGCACATTAAGTTGAAAACATGCTTTTAAAGGGCTCACACACAATGGTGCACGTGAATATTGGGTTTTTCATGTGCATCTCGTGCAATTTTTTTTTTGTGCACACGGGCCGATATTTTTTGCGTTTGGGAGCATTGTGTGAAACAATAGTTCATAGTATTGCATAATATTATACATACAAAACCATCTAGTAATAAAATATTTGAGGAAAAAGTGATGCGTTTTCCATGGCGCTCAGTATATAATTAAGATATATTCATTCAAAAATAATTAGGTTGTCTGAAGTATGATATTTGATAATGACCATTATAAGAGTCAAATTCCCTAATACTTCACAATAAATTAAAACATGTTAATTATTACTGAGTGTTAAGGATAATGTGTAATGTGTATTTCGTAAAATGTGCATTACTGAAGTATTACTTGGGAACTCCAAAGATCATCCATTCATGTGGACTATCAAAACATTATGTTTTTTAATATAATTCGTGGTAGTTTAGATATGTTTTCCAATTGATGGTTACGTATTCAGGAGTGCAACTGTAGATGTAATATATAACTTTTATCTGAATATTGCATACATGAATATTACAAACTCCCCCAACCTTTCTTACCTTTATCATATGATGATAGTGAAGAAAGTGAGGTGCTTTGTCTCATGGTCATTGCTAATATTCTATATATGTCCACTCAACACTACTTATGTTCAATTATAGTACATAACATGGATTCTTATATACACTGTAAAATATATGCAAAAGATATATATTAGATTAACAAGCGGTTGCCATGCAAGATACGCCCAGATTTTTCAAGAGATGGACAGAGAATGAGCTAAAAAAAATAATGTGATTTATTGTACAATCAGGGGCCATAATCCAGGAAGATATGGCCGATATGCGCGAATATCGAAAGGAACCAAGGTCTTTGGTTATGAACATACATTTCAAGTTTCATCAAAATCGGATAAAAATTGTGACCTCTAGAGGGTCCACAACCTTCGTATTACATACTTTTACACAATTTGCATACAAAGAGCGGCCATTTTGTTGAGCAGTTTCATTTCAATTTCCCCGAAATTCAAATTCAACCTTCATTATGGTGGAATGGTGATATATTTAAACGTTTTTTTAAATTGGAAAAAAATTGCGACCTCTAGCGAATCTTCAAGCTAAAAATGAGATTTTTGGAACAATCAGGGGCCATAATCCATGAAGTTACAAATCGAAATGGGCAAATATCGAAATCAACCAAGATCTTTGGGTTATAAACATGTATTTCAAGTTTTATCAAAATCGGATCAAAATTGTGCCCACTAGAGGGTCCCACAACCTTGATATACCAAATGTTTACACTATCCAAACTCAACCAACATTACGGTGTAACGGTGATATATTCGAACGTTTTTGTAAATCAGATAATAATTGTGACCTCTAGAGGGAGCACAAGCTAAAAACTCGATTTTTCGTACAATCAGGGGACATAATTCAGGAAGTTATGATCCAATATGCCTGAATATCGAAAGCAACCAAGATCTTTGGGTTATAAACATGCATTTCAAGTTTCATCAAAATCGGATTAAAATTGTGACCTCTAGAGGATCCACAACCTTGATATACCATATTTTTACATTATTAGCATTTTGTCCGGCAGTTTTGTTCCGATTTTCACAAAATTCAAAATCAACCATCATTACGATGTAGCAGTAATATATTCAAACGTTTTTTTTTGTTAATTTTTAATCCGATAATAATTGTGACCTCTAGAGGGCACCACAAGCTAATAACGTGATTTTTCGTACAATGAGGGGCCATAATTCAGGAAGTTATGATCTGATATGCGCAAATATCGAAAGGAACCAATATCTTTGGGTTATAAACATGCATGTTTCATCAAAATCAGATGAAAATTGTGACCTCTAGAGTGTCCACAAGCTAAAATTGTGATTTTTTTTACAATCAAGGGCCATAATCCATGAAGTTTTGATCCAATACATGCCAATATCAACAGCAACCGAGATCTTTTGGAGATAAACCTATATTTCATGGAACGAGACTGATGGGGAGGTCCAAGCATAATGGTTTTGGGTGGAATCGGCCTGAACCAGAGAGTGGGTCCTGTGGTGTTCCAAAATCTTGGTCCAGGGAGAGGAGGCGGCATCACAGCAGTGCGCTACATCGATCAAGCTCTCAGACCCCACATCATAACACATTTCACACGTCATCGAAACAACGTTTTCCAGCATGACAAAGCTTGTGCTCATACCGCCAGGATTTCTCAGGTCTTTCTACAGCAGAACGGTGTCAACATTGTGCACTGGCCAGCCTTTAGTCATGACTTAAACCCGATTGAACATCTTTGGGCTTTTCTGCGAGTGTGGTCCTCTCCATGTACAGACGCTGCGCTGCTGTTATTGATACTCGTGGTGGACACACCGGATACTGATGTATAGATTGTGTACAGACTTTAAACCTTCTCGGAATGTCTTGGAATTGTGATGAATTAATCACTAATGTGTCAACATACTGTTCACAAAAAATTGCCTTGATCCATTTAGTAAGCCGTTTTCTAGAATGATTTATTAAAGTGATTTGAAATCGTACTGACGTTTTTATATGCCCACATTTTTATGTGGACGTATATTGTCGTCGGCCCTGTCCATCCGTCTGTCCACAGTTGTTTGTGAACACTCTACAGGTCACAATTTTTATCTAATTTCAATGAAATTGGCATTAATCGGACTGTAACTTCATGGATTATGGCCCTTGATTGTACAAAAAATCACGTTTTTAGCTTGTGAACACTGTAGAGGTCACAATTTTTATCCGATTTGGTTTAAACTTGAAATGTATGTTTATAACCCACGGATCTTGGTTTCTTTCGAAATTCACGCATATCGGACCATAACTTCCTGAATTATGGCCCCTGATTGTACGAAAAATCGCGTTGTTAGCTTGTGGACCCCAGAGAGTTCACAATTTTTATCCAATTTAAAAAAACGTTACATTATATCACCGATACACCCTAAGGATGGTTGAGTTTGAATTTCGTAAAAATCAAACCGAAACTGACAAACAAAATGGCCGACCCTCGTTTGCAAATAGTGTCAAAATATTGTGTATCTGGGTTGGGGGCCCTCTGATTTTGATGAAACTTGAAATGCATCTTTATAACCCACAGATCTCAGTTTCTTTTGATATTCGCATATATCAGACCATAACTTCCTGAATTATTGCCCCTGATTGTACGAAAAATCGCGTTTTTAGCTTGTTGACCACATAGAGGTCATAATTAAAAAAAACGACTGAATATATCACCGTTACACCCTAAGGATAGTTGAGTTCGAATTTCGTAAAAATTGGACCGAAACTGAATGACAAAATGCCCCCCCCCCCTTCATTCGCAAATAGTGTCACAATATTGTGTATCAGGGTTGTGGACCCTCTGGACATAGGCGTACGAGCCAGGGGGCAAGGGGGGCAGCTGCCCCCCTAACTTTAGGGCAAGCTGACTTTTCGGGCAGACGGGTAAAGGGACAAAAAATTTTATGTCATCTACTTGGCAAAATAAAGAGCCCAAAATCTAATAAAACACTAATTTTAAGGGCTGGAATTGCAGTAAAACGCGTTTGCGGACGCCAAATATTCAAAAATTTTCTTTGGGAGTCCCCATACAAGGACAGCTCCGCTTCTTCGCCTCTGTCTGTAAACCTGAATTTTTTTCGGGCATTTCTAGTTTTGCTTCCCTAACTGTCATCGCGCCCTAATAAAACACTAATTTTACTTTTCTTTTAATTGAATACCACAAATTTCTACTGAGTTGACTATGGATTAAAACATTTTGTCTGGGGCCACTCTACTTTGTGCGACATTTTTCGGGCATCAATTATTATTTGTGAATGCAGCTGCAACAGTCTGATTGCATGGTTGGAATTCAGAGTGGGATTTCGGTTACAAAGTCATTGCATACCTCGCGACGATTGATTGGTTGTTTTTAGATTGTGGACTCCCTAGAGGTCACAATTTTTATCTGATTTAAAAAAAATGTTTGAATATATCACCGTTACATGCAAAGGATGGTTGAGTTCGAATTTCATGAAAATCAGACCAAAACTGCTGGGCAAAATGGCCACCCCTCGTACGCTAAAAGTGTAAACATCTGGTAAATCAAAGTTGTGGACTCTCTAGAGGACACAATTTTCTTCCAATTTTGATCCAATTTTGATGAATCTCAAAACGCAAGTTTATAACCCAAAGATCTCGTTCTTTACAATATTCACGCAAATCTGATCGTAACTTCCTGAATTATGGCCTCTGATTGTACGCGAAATCGCGTTTTTAGCTTGTGGTCCCTCTAGACGTCACAATTATTTTCGATTTAAAACCAGCGGCTGCCAGGCAGGATACGCCCACATTTTCGAGAGATGGATAGAGAACAAGCTAAAAAGAAAGTGATTTTTCCTACAATCAAGGGCCATAATTCAGGAAATTATAATTCGATATGTGCAAATATCGAAAAAAAATGACATCTTTGGGTTATAAACTTACATTTCAAGTTTCAACAAAATCGGATAAAAATTGTGACCTCTATTGGGTTCACAACTATTTTTACGCTATTGCAGAACGAGGGGCAGCCATTTTTCCAGTCAGTTTTGGGCCGATTTTCACAAAATTCCAATTCAGCCGTCCTTAGGGTGTAACGGTGATACACTACAATGTTTTGTAAATCGGATAAAAATTATGACCTCTATAGGGTACATATTTTTACGCTATTTGAGAACGAAGGGCGGCCATTTTGTCTGTCAGTTTTGGACCGATTTTCACGAAATTTGAACCCAGACATCCTTAGGGTGTAACAGTGATATAGTAATAAGTTTTTTTAAATCAGATAAATATTATGACCTCTATAGGGTCCACAATCTAAAAACGTGATTTTTCAAAAATCAGGGTCCATAATTCAGGAAGTTACGGTCTGATATACGCGAATATTGAAAGGAACCAAGATCTTTGGGTTATAAACTTACATTTCAAGTTTCAACAAAACGGATAAAAATTGTGACCTCTATAGGGTCCACAACCTTGATATACCATATTTTTATGCTATTTGAGAACGAAAGGCGGCCATTTTGTCTGTCAGTTTTGGGCCGATTTTCACGAATTTCGAATTCAGCCGTGCTTAGGGTGCAACAGTGATATAATAATACGTTTTTTTAAATCGGATAAAAATTATGACCTCTATTGGGTCCACAAGCTAAAAACGCGATTTTTCGTACAATCTGGGGCCATAATTCGGGAAGTTACGGTCCGATATGCCCGAATATGGAAAGGAACCAAGATCTTTGGATTATAAACTTACATTTCAAGTTTCAACAAAATCAAATATTATATAAATATAACAATCGTCATTCAAACAAAAATTCATGTATTTCGCACAATCAGGGGCCATAATTCAGGAAGTTACGATCCGATATGCGCAAATATCGAAAGGAACCAAGATCTTTGGGTTATAATCATGCAATTCAAGTTTCATCAAAATCGGATCAAAATTGTGACCTCTAGAGTGTCCACAAGCTAAAAACGCGATTTTTTGTACAATCAGGAGCCATAATCCATGAAGTTATGGTCCGATACATGCCAATATCGAAAGGAACCGAGATCTTACGGAGATAAAGCTATATTTGAAGTTTCGTTGAAATCGGATAAAAATTGTGACCTGTAGAGTGTCCACAAACAAATTGCGGACGGACGGACGTCCAGACGGACAAACAGGGGCGACGACAATATACGTCCACATGAAAATGTGGGCATGTAAAAAAAGTCCGAATATATCACTGTCACACCGTAATTTTTGTTGAGTTCGAATTTCGTGAAAATCAGGCCAAAACTGCCAGACGAAATGGCCGCCCCTTGTTCGCAAATAGTGAAAACATCTGGTAAATCAAGGTTTTTGGTTCCTTAACTTAACTTCCTGGATTATGGCCCCTGATTGTTCGAAAAATCACATTTTTACCTTGCAGATTCTATAGAGGTCACAATTTTTTTCCGATTTTAAAAACTGTTTAAATACATCACGATTCCACCATCATGAAGGTTGAATTCTATTTTGGGAAAATCAAAATGAAACGGCCCGACAAAATGGCCGCTCTTTGTACGCAAATTGTGTAGAAGTGTGTAATATGAAGGTTGTGGACCCTCCAGAGGTCACAATTTTTGTCCGATTTTGATGAAACTTAAATCATATCTTTAAATCCCAAATATCTCTGTCCCTTTTGATATTTGCACATTTCAGGCCATAACTTTCTGGATTATTGGCCCTGATTGTACAAAAAATCACGTTTGTTTTTAGCTTGTTCTCTATCTATCTCTTGCAAAATGTGAGCGTTTCCTGCCTGGCACCCGCTAGTTTTTGCTGTTTTAGTATATAATATTGCTTTTCACATCATCATCACCCCATAATTGTGTATACCCTGTATATTTTATATATTTTAATAAATTATATTAGGCCCTACATCCCTGTCAATCATAGGCAACTTTGTGGCTAACATTTACAAATAAATACACTTTATTTCATAATTTTAATTGATCATATTTCATAACGCGGGGTCTAATCCCAATGCTCTGTGGTTATTAGTCAATTTCCAAAGTTTTATGATTAGCACAAAAACTATGAAAAAAGGCCACCGCTTCTCAATAATTTCCATATTTAATTCACGTTCCAACTGTTCATGTCAATAAATTTCCTGATTAAATTACTTTTTTTTTGTTTATTCGACAGATACAGAAATCGAAACATTCCTGATAAGAAAAGTTTGGGATGTCTAAAAATCTTTTATCGTCTTTATAAAAATGTATTTAAAACAAAAAATCACTCATCAAAAGAGGCATCGCAGATTGCAGAGTATTATTAGATCTTATGTGTTAATTATGCAGACCGTGAGAAAAACTTGTGCAAGTTTCGCGCTAAATTTAACCATTTTCACTGCATCTGTGTAGCATACAATAACTCATATGGCATGGTACCTTTTACGGTAATAGAATTCAAAGCGTTGATTGGCTGAGGCATAATTGCGATCTACGAAATGTGATCAGAAAATTTCATTCTCCGTGGATTTCAAAATGGAGTTGTACTTGTGATTAATATATAGTTAATAACTGAGCGTACACTCGTGTGGATACATTGCCCTGTGAATTTCAAAACAAAACCGTGATTTTCGGAAATTAATTGTGTTAATTAGTTTGTGATGAGTTCAATTTTACAAAAGAGAACTTTTTTATTCACTGGGATATTTAGTTGTACAATGGATTTTTTTAACCGGAGGTAATTTCAAACACACTGGTAAGTTTATAATAACCATAGCTAAGTAGTTTGTACTCAGTCCAGCCAGCACATAATAAGCTGGCAGGCAACCGTCAGATTGTCAGATTGCCAATTAGTGATAGCCTGACATTATTGCCCAGTGCTTGCTCCATGGGTGTTTATCAGGTAATCCAGCATTTTTCTAGTTAGATTGGGTGTCTATATATATACTTTCCATTATATACATACTAAATTTGCCATACATTTATTGGAAATAACCACCCGATAAATACTTTAATAATATTTATTTGAATCTTAAGCCATGACCATGCCTATCATTCAATACCATGTTCATTACAGAATTTCCAAATCCATACCCAAAAATGTTGAATATCACCAATTTTACTGAGTTGAGTTCAACCACATTATGTTCGTACCCAGTCAGAATTTATTGCAATCAGTAGGCTAGGCTACTAAGCTTTATTTCATACCCCTATCACAATACTGACTGTCTGCATACCTTTTATCTTTTCATAATTTTCGGTGAAACAACATAGTGCCGCTTTACGGTTGTGCTAATATATATATATATATATATATATATATATATATATATATATATATATATATATATATATATTAAAGTAGATAAAGTACAAGTACTTCTATGTTACGGGAGCCAAGGTGGCTAAGTGGGTAAGATGCTGGCTCGCTAGCCTGGAGGTCACGTGTTCGATCCCTGCATTGGCCGAGAAAGTTCATCAGGATTTTCTGACTGGGTTTTCCCCTGCTAGGGGTGCAGGACGGAAGGCCTGACAAGGACAGCTGTCTAGTCATTTGGATGGAACAAAAAATCGAGGTCCCATGTATACATTGGTGTGCATGTAAAAGATCCCTTTGCAGTTGGAATTCGATATAAGAGTAGGCAGTAGTGCCTCTGCCTGGGCAAAATTGACCTAATAGCACACTGCATGGCATATGTATGTCTTCTATCCCAGTTGGAGCAGAAGACTAGGACATTAAACCCCATTTCATTTTATTTATATGTTTACAGTAGATAAATACATAAATAAATAAAAATGTATGTCCAGGTAAAAAATTCACCACTTTATTGTATACATACATACAGGCCTACACCCAATTAGATAATATCCATATATTGGTTATCAATTACAGTACAATGTAGCCTAATTCAATTGTTCAATTAAATTGACTGTCATCAATCTGTTGTCTTATTGAATTTCAGTTGCCATAATAAAACAAATCAATATAACATAATAAAAAAGCATCACTGGGCATTGAAATTCGCCTTTTTTAAAATCCTTCGAATGAGAGAGAGCGAGAGAGAAATGGGGTTTAACGTCCACTAGACACAAACTTGGTCATTTTGGGACTAACATATGGTTCAATTTTATTTCCATAATTCCCTTGCACGTAGGGTCTTTAGCAGTGGGAGGAAAGCGGAGGACCAGGAGAAAACCCACGAGGTTGCTGATCCTTCAAATGAACTGATTATATATATATATATAATATTTACATGTAGGCCTATATTCTACAAATCTCGTATTTTGTTACTATATTGTATCTATACTATAGATTAGACCTATGTGACATACATGTACCTATCGGAGGTATACTATATAATTTAAGGGTCTATTATTGTTGATTATAAACGAACTTTCTCTTAAAATGAGGTCATTAAAAATTTCAAATTTACCCACCTATTTCAAATTGCTGTAAATTCATTCCATTAGTTTTTTAATCCGAAATATTTACAATCACGGCAGTTATATATTTACATACATAAAATAAACGGAGAGAAGAAATGGCTGCCATATTTGTTTTGTCACGTGTTCACGCACCTGGCAACGCATGTTTACCTTCATTTGATCAATCGATAACACACGAATTCTCACGGTTCGCTTTGTTTCCACTGTCCAGTATTAATAAATTATTTCCGTTACATAATTTATCATTAGATCAGATGACAAAGGGGTACGAGGTGGGGATATAGTAAGTTAAGATAAGACATTTATTACATAAAACAGCATATGTAAATTTATATACATTATGCATGAAAAATACTTAAAAAGTGGATGAAAAATATAGAAAAAGAAGATGAAAAATACATAAAAAGTGGATGGTAATATGTACATGTATATACATTAAACAAAATATAAACCAAAGTTTTGAATACGTCATAATTGTCGCTTGAAATAAACGCGAAAAAGATCTTTGAATTGTATTTGGTTATTTTTTGGTTTATAGAAGAGAGTGCCACATCCCTTATTTTGAAAGCATGCTGAACAAAGCTGCACACTGTTTTTGCTTGAACAAACGACGGGTTAAACATATTATCGAAACAAAATGGATAGTTTTGGATCTCAAATGCCCCATATAAACAAGTGTCTTGCGGAGTTCACCATATAGTGGTACACTCAATAAGAAAACGATACTCAGCAGCGGATTATATTATACGTTTGTTGTTTATTACTTTGTGCATCTTGTACACGGATTTGTATTATGTTTGTTTGTTTAGGTGCCACCCTCATGAACTTATTCAATTGCTAGCTATATCGAGGTGACCAAATAGCGTGTATCGCGAACCACCTGCGTTCCATTATCTATATATATTTGTGACTGTCGTTTGTCTGTCTGTCTGTTCGGAGTTGGCGGCTACACTAGGTCTGCCCCGAGTCTGAAATTTGGGGTATAGGGGTAGCTCGGACCGGGGAGTAACATAGGCCAGGTGGCGTAGTTAGTCTACCCCTTCCGGTTTCGGAGTTATGACCCCAGAGCGAAGCCGGTCTGTTCGGGGTTGGCGGCTACACTAGGTCTTCCCCGAGTCTGAAATTTGGGGTATAGGGGTAACTGGGACCGGGGAGTAACATAGGCCAGGTGGCGTTAGTCTACCACTTCCGGTTTGGGAGTTATGATCCCCGAGCGAAGTCTGTCTAATCGGGGTTGGCGGCTACATCTGCCCCGAGTCTGAAATTTCGGGTATAGGGGTAGCTCGGACCGGGGAGTAACATAGGTCAGGTGGCGTTAGTCTACCCCTTCCGGTTTCGGAGTTATGACCCCCGAGCGAAGCCGGGTATCCTGATAGTATAAACTAATTAAAAAAAAAGTAGGGGATATTGAAATCCAAATACCTATGCATGGCAGCAGTGGCGACGCCCAATAATTTTAGAAAATAAAAAAAAGGATTTGTGATACGTTTCGGTAATCATACCTTCTACGGTGAATAAATCCCACATCCCCACTCAGTCATAAACTTGCATGTTGTAGAGCATTTCCGACATTCTATTTTTCAAAATTACCTTGGGGAGGTCCCCAATGGACTCGCTACTTTGGCGCTCACAAGGGGAATTCGTTGAGGTTCGGAAGACAGTTCGTTTGACATTTTGTTCTCTGGTCAGATAAACTAGTGACCAGACGACGGACGGTATCTGGTCAGATCTATTTATCTCGACGATCGGTGCCTGACCGAGTGATAGAGTACCACTTGCCGGGCCCGTACAGTCGCCGCGTACCACCTGGTTCCAGAGAAACTCAATTCGATCAAATATCGATTAAAAAGTAAAGTAAAAAAATGATTAATCAATCAAGAAATAAATAAAGAAGTATATAAATAAAATATAAATAAGTACACAAAATAATAATAAGAACAGTAACATACACACTGAGAAAATAATTGGTATTATCTTGTGTCCGAACATTGACCTGGAAGTGATTGGCAACGACTTTGGCAGTGTGACCAGCGTCGAGTCTTCCAAACGACTGGTTCCTCTGAGCTGTCGTGAGTCGTGGCATGCTGCTGACGTTGTTGTGTGAATGATTCAACCAGGTATGGGGATGCATTTTATAGGGCTGGTCCCGGTGAACAGCACCTGCAGCATGAGTTACATGAAAATCATGGAGAACACATTACCATCACAGAAGTCAGGTTACGTTTTTGAGAACATTTCCTGCGTTCAGTTCTGTGTTTGGGAAGGAGCCTTATTGCTCAGGTAAAGTTGGAGATGTGGTCACAAATATACAATAAAAACATTTGGCAAGTTTTATGCAATGCGTCTATTCAGAGTAACATACCAACCTGACGTTTCTTTTGCTGTTTAGTATATATGTTGCAGAGAGAGAGAAATGGGGTTTAACGTCCACTCGACACAAATTAGGTCATTTCGGGACTAACTTATGGTTCAATTTTATTTCAATAATTTGCAGTGGGAGGAAATCGGAGGACCCGGAGAAAACTCACGAGGTTGGACAGGTGACCCTATTCCTTGGCACGTACACTCGGGGAATCGAGACCACGTCACTTGACTCAATGACAGACCTTACGATCAAACGCACATGCGTTAACCATTCGACCCCCCAACCCCCGGGGACAGGCGACCCTACTCCTTGTCAGCTGGTGTTCGATCCCTACATTGGCCGTAGCACGTGCGCGCTGTATCATCAAGTCTGTCATTGAGTCAACTGGTGTGGTTTCGAATCCCCGGTTGTACGTGACAAGGAGTAGGGTCGCCTGTCCAACCTCGTGGGTTTTTTCCGGGTCCTCCGGTTTCCTCCCACTGCTAAAGACCCCTACACGCCAGCGAATTATGCAAATAAAATTGAACCATATGTTAGTCCCGAAATGACCTAGTTTGTGTCGAGTGGACGTTAAACCCCATTTCTCTCTCTCTGCATTGGCCGAGAAAGTTCATCCCGATTTTCCGGCGTGGTTCCCCCTTGTCAGAGATGCAGGACGGAGGGCCTGACAAGGACAGTATATTTCACGGCTACGCCTCTGGGCCCAGGGCCCCGCTCCGGTTAAGCTGGGCTTTGAAATTATCGGTTCCTGCTTGCATCTAAACCCACAGGAAAGTGCTCTAAACAGGGGCGTATCTAGGAATTTTAGCAGCGGAAGGAACTACCCGCGAATTAGATAAAATCAGAAACTTTGAGACAATATTGCTGCTCATTTAGGTGCAAGTGCATGATTACAGTGGAGTGAGTGAAAACGGCGGCAATACTTCGCACATTTGTTTTTTCAAAGTTAATTCCATGAATGTAGGAGAGGACAAATATGCTTTGCGCCCCTCCCCCCCCCCCCCCGGTCTCATCTACGAGGATTTAATTTTCAAAATCAACCGGGGACGGCCCCGCTTCCCCTCTCCCGTCGCTTGGGCCCCTCCAGAAGGCGTTGCCTCCGTTGAATGAACAGTTAATAATAATAATAATAATAATAATAATAATGAGGTTTTATATAGCGTCTTCCCCATGATGACACATGCTCAAAACGCTTTTAGTAATGGCTCTACTGGTAAAACTGTCGAAACAGGAAAGTCTTAAGTGCGGATTTAAATTGATTAAAAGTTTGTTGATTCTTGATCTGTTGTGGAAGTTCGTTCCATAATCGAGGACCAGCTGAACTGAAAGACCTATACCCATATGACTTTAAATTAAATCTTGGAACAACTAGTGACTGTTTATTTTGAGAGCGCAGTGATCTAATAGGATGTGATCAAACTTATGTGTCCTTGTTACTATTCGGGCTGCAGTATTAAGAACTTTCTGGCTAGAAGTGCTTGTGGGATTCCATAGAGTAAACTATTATATAATCAATCCTTGATAAAATTAGTGATCTCACAAGTAATTTACAAGCGTCAGCAATGAGATAGTCTCTGATGTTGCATATACGGCGTGGATGATAGTAGCATGTACGGCATACCATTTCAACCTGAGTGTCCATTGTCAGCGAAGGATCAAATATCACTCGAAGGTTTCAAACATTTTTAGAGAAATTTATTTCTGAATTACCAATGGTGATTTTAAGATCAGGTAGTAACTTGAGTTGTTGTGATGAACCTACTAAAAGAGCTTCTGTTTTATCATCGTTCAATTTTAGTTCGTTCGCTTTCATCCGCCCCTGATGATATTCATTTTCAACTTACTGTTGAGGGCACTTCATGCAAAACCGCAGATGTGCAGGTACATTTTTGCACCGCCCTCTCTCTCTCTATTTTAAGGAAATGTGTGCTCAACCTAGGCGGGACATCGCGGTTTTAGTTTTAATATTTTTGACAACTTGCAGGTATGGTACCGGCGCATTGATATTGTTTTAAAATCTATAAAATGTTCTTAGTTTATTGTTATAGATTAGCATAAAACTGTCTGGGGAAATTTTTTATCATACACACTGTAAGGACGTATGCCCGTCTTCATTAGCCCAGTCGGAGCAGAACAGATAGGACGTTAAACCCCATTTCATTTCATTTCATTTCGGAGACCATTTGCCGTTGTTACTGATAGCATTACAAGGTTGTCAGCAAAAAGTATTATTTAACATGGGGGAGTCTATGAGATTTGTGGAGTATTTGAAGTAGTTATTAATAAATATTGAAAACTTTGGGACGAAACATACACCCTTGTATTTTGTCAGAAAGATATCCATTATTAGTTTTAATTATATACATGTATTACGTTTTGTCATACATTTATATATTGTGCTTCATCAACTTGAGAAATAGAGATTTTCTCCAAACACAATCAAAGGCCTTTTTTTAAATTCAATAAAACACACGCATAAATTTTGTTTTTTATTCTTGTTCTTATTTAAGATACATTATGGGAGATTCGATAACAAGTTGGCAGTTCTCACTATAATAGTTAAAAACTAGATAATGTAAAGGCAATTTGCTGAAAATTTCATTCAAATTGATCCACTATGAACCGAGAACAAAGCGATTGAATTTCTGCCTAGCCTTGATCATCATTACCCAAGTCGGTACGATAAACAGCATAGTCTCGATTATCCATTTAATCGTTCAATCGTGAAGGAAAGT